CGTTTTGTCATACGCATGCATATAATTGTGCCATAATTATCAAGTTTCGAGAGAGAGAGAGAGAGAGAGAGAGAGAGAGAGAGAGAGAGAGAGAGAGAGAGAGAGAGAGAGAGAGAGAGAGAGAGAGAGAGAGAGAGAGAGAGAGCGATTTAATATTCCCAAATAGCACGATACATATGAAGCTTGGGAAAAAATGAAAATACCAGAGGTTTTCTGATTCACGTAAGTTGTATGTAATTTTCATGCGTATGCAAGTACGCGGGATTCAAGTCACGGGTAACAGTTCGGGCTCAACGAGCCGTAACTTCACGGCAAAGCAGCCGCAGTTGTTTTTCAGTTTTCCAATTACGTCGCTTGCGGTTGCGCCGCACTTTTCACGTGTAAACCCTCCGTTTACTCTCATAGCCGGCCATTTGAGTCAATCAAAACGCACGCATAGCGAGAAATGACCGCTCGGCGAGCCGATCCGGAGAGAAGGAGAAGAAACGCAACGGACGGTAAGCAGAAAAGGAAAAAACAGTTGTTCGCAATGCATGTGTTACCGCGTGCGCACGTGTGTCTCGTGTGGCAGACGTTCGTTGTCCTTAACTTGCCATCGACTTCTCAGTCGCGCACAGGCGCGCAACTTTATGTTTTCACCGCTTCACCGCGTTCACTGCGCGTTGGGCTGTATAGCTCATTTGGACTTTAAATTCCAGATACGAAAGAGAACTTTGTTCAATTTCGACTGTTTACATTTGTGATTACTCTCTCTCTCTCTCTCTCTCTCTCTCTCTCTCTCTCTCTCTCTCTCTCTCTCTCTCTCTCTCTCTCTGTGCTCGAGACAAATTATTTGTTTATTAGACATTTGCACTGAATTGATAAAAGAAAAAGAGAGAAAAAGAGAAAGAGAGAGAGAGAGAGAGAGAGAGAGAGAGAGAGAGAGAGAGTTTCTTCAAGTTTTTCGATCAAAATAACAGGCGAAAGTCCAAAAGAATTTTTTTCAACAAATTGTCCGAGGTTACCGATTTATCTGTCTGAGCATCTTCTTCTCGTAAATATCAAGCAAATTCACCAGAGTTTCTTGCGACCGATCCTTTGCTTCTCTCTGGAGATAAAGACACCAGCGGCGCGTGTTATGAATCGCATCGTTGCAAAAAGATTTATTTCCCCAATAAATTATATATATTCGTCTTCGTGGCATTAGTGCTAAGTACCAGCACGGTAACTTGAAGTAAAATTGTCGGAAAAACGTGAGCGTACTGGCCGTTGCTGCCCCACCTGCTGAAGAACTTGACCTAAACATATGTTGCGGATGAGCAAGAGTGTGGTCCGTGCACGTGATCGCTCCGTGATCGACGTTACCATTGGCGGAGGCGAGGGATTCAGACACGTGCTACAAACATGACCTTATCGTCCCTTATCACGGCATGTATACAGGAGAAACCGCGTCTCTCGGACTCGTTAGATTTTATTTCTACCGGAACATTTACGTACATATAATAATTTGCCAGAGCTTATCGGTGTCGTTGCATAAACTCCAATTGAAGTAATTTTAAGAAATTCATTAATGTTTATGCGAGAAGAGAGGTATAACACGAATATCATCCAATGTTAGATCCAATGTCACGATTATATTATACACGACAAAGTAAAATTAGATATGCTCGACTATGTGGCCTATGTCGATTATGTTGTTTTATGTTCGGAACGAAAATGTCAATTCTTCTTCGTTAAATGATTCATTTTCAGGGGGGAAGTTTCCTTCGTCGTACAAAGCGTTGCTCTGTTCTGCATTTATGTGTATATACGGCGTTATGAAGCAGGCAGGTTGAACTCGTCATGAGCGACGGATTATCAACCGCTTGACGCTGATGGAATACATCCGGTTATAATTGACACAGCACGTGACAAACACGACAACAAATTATGATATAAATTTGACTTTCGATCCTCGGTCATGCACAGAGCGGAGCTTGTGATTCCAAACAGCAGCCGAGAAAAAAAGACCAGCGTGACAAGCGCGAAAAAGCTCGCCGCGGTTGGCTGTCTACGCGGGACTTGTGCAATGATCTGTGGCGCCGGCGACCGGATTCAGGGAGACGCGACGAAAAGGAAGGAAATTACAAGTACAGGAATAGAGTCGGGAACGTGGTGGAGGGGAAGTCCATCGACACTGTAGGGAACAGCTGGACGTTGATGAGGAGCAAAATTCTTTCATCTCAGGCGCATGCGAAAATATTTTTAATCCTCCGAGCGCAGCTCGTTTCTCTCTTCGCGCAGTTTTACGCAACTTTAACAATTATTTCGAAACAATATCCTTTTTTCCCCAGTAGTAGTTCCTTTTTTTTTTTTTTGTTTCAGCGGTTTATCCATTTTTCTTTCTCTCTTTTGTAAACCGTCGAAAATACCTTTTGAAATTCGTTGCCAGTAGTCGATTCTCGAAAACTCTTTTACAATTTCGATGGTGCATGCTCTCTCGACTTACCCATTGGTGTAGCGAGTGCTCGGTATTTTCGACATTTTACGATGAGAATCCCTTGGGACATTTCGACATGCTTTCAGACCTGTCAGCGATTGCAGCGCGCTGTGCGACTCAAGTTGTACGTCACTTTGCATCGTTAAAATACACGATTTGCAGTGATTGCGTGCAATCGAGAAAAATGTTACAGATAAGGAAGTAAAACATCAAACGAGCAAGCATGTGTGCATTTATAAGTTTCGAATAAATTCCACTTTGTGAAGAAACGAATCTCCTTAAAAAAGTCTTAGGACTCGTAATCGGATGGATTTGGGTCGTTGTGATAACTTAAATCGCAGATCGTGTGCATGTATGAGCAATATTTTGTCTCCATGTAATATTTTATTCCCATCGTCGAATTAATTTCCACATTTTTTCCATCGTCATCGTAGAATCATCGTCATTGAGAATCTTTCCATCATCGTTCATCCTGCTGGCGGAACGTTAAGAAATATCCTGTGTGTGCACGAAAGATTTAAATATGATCGGCTTGAGACACAGCAGCGGAAAATTTCCACGGATATTGATTCTTGTCGCGGCGTCTCGGAAGTGACTCGCATTAACTGGGCCAATTGCCGAAGAAAGAGAAGTCCGTCTCGGCGAGATACTGTTAACGCAACTATGTTTTGTCTACATGGTAATGTAGACACAACGACCCAAATCCATCCGTTCGAACGACATTGAACCACGCCCAATGCGCCACACGCGATACGCGTTCCAGCATTCAGAAAACGGAGTCGATAAGCGACGTAGCGAAATCGATATTTGTACTCTGACGAGACTCGCGCGCGTGTTCGATAGAGTTATATTCTCGCGGATAAGATTCCCACAACCTGTTACAATGTGTCTTTCTGCCTCTGCAGCTCGCGATCACGCGTCTTTCGCGTGCGCTAACGAGCGGAATTAACATGTCGATTCTATGGAAGCGTCTCCATTGAAACGCTTCGTGGTCCTTGATCTCTGATCTTAGAAATAGTCGGGTCTTTTATTTCGGCTTGAACGAAAGGTTTCATTTTACGCCGATTTTCCCAGCTTCTGAAAGAGCAGCGAGAGTGTTACGTAAGACTACGGGATTCGCCGAGACACTCTTGTCACTCGCGAGGCCGTTTCGCGATATATTCGCATGTAAATACCCGATGTTGATTTTGTAATCTCCCTGTTTGTTATGATGCAACATTTTTTCAGTAGCTACACGAAACATTAAGTTGACTATCGTTACGGTATATCTAAACGCGGCAATTTTGCAAGTTATGTCGAATAATGCTGAAATATCCACTGTCTGCATACACATCACGTACGTATATAAAATTAAATTACTTTTGTGGGAAATAGAAATAAACCCGACTGCGAGTCGGTTAACTTTGCGTTCTTCAGATTATACAGAAATGCCATTGGCGATACGTCGACCTTGATTTCGCCATAAAGGTATAATTCAACCGATAATTACCGGCGGTTATTAATTACGGGCTGCTCACGAGCAAACATAATACATTACAAGCGCGCCCCGAGGTTTCCTTTGCTCTGTCAGAAATGCAGCTTTCTCGATGTCCGTTATTCTCATTATTTCTCCTATTTGTTTCGTAATTATTTCCGTTGTTAATTCCGACATATTGGTGGTATACATTTGTTTCATGCGAATCGATAGCGGTGATAGCAAAATGCACGATGTATATTCACCGTTGAAAAAGCAAGGTCAACAGCCGTTCAAACTTGACGACATTAAATGGATATGCCAGCTGTGCAAAATCAGCAGACGTCTTCCATGGCGTTGAACGCCCGTCGTTGCAGACAGCTGTAATTTATTCGCCACGAAAATTCCATAACTGATAATAATCAATGTCACACGACGGATAATCGAAGATAACGGAAGACGTACAGATTTTCCAGATACATGTTGGTTAGTTTTATATTATAAATTCTTCTTCGTATTACAAATTCTTTTTTGTATTTGCTCTCCATTGTATTTATTTATCCTGCTTAATCCTGTGAATGTGCGCCATGATAATTTATCACGGTAAAGAAATTTATAAATATAAAATAGACAAATCTCATAAAATTCTGGGTCGCTACGCTTCAGTAATTGATGATGTGTTCGTGCAATGTATAAAATATTTAATTTACATTTCTTCCATTCTTCATTATTCATTTTTTTTATCTTTCTTGTCGAACTGCGCTACAGACAAAAAAAGGATTCAGACGGAACTAAAATTTTGATAATCAATTTGGCGAAATAAATGATCAGTTTGGTGAGAGATAAAGTGTCAAAGAGATGGAAACATTTAAATGAGGTTTTTATCAGATAGAAAGCTTGCGAGTTATAAATACATAGTATTTAATTTGCATAAATAGCAATAAGTATTTTCCTTATATTCTGGGTACATTGTTATAAATTATTTCCTCATTATCCGCGATAATACAGTAATCAATAGAGCAAGATATAAAACAGAATCTCCGGTCACGACATTTCGGAGGACCCTTCACAATTGTAGAATAAAAAAAGAACCAAGGAAAAGAACCAATCGTAGAGTAGCGGTCTCAACCTCTACGGGAAAATCCGAGCTGGTTTCAACACAAAGTAGAGGGACGGTATAAGAGCAGAGCTACGTGACGGCATTTAATCATCGTGCTTCTGGCGTCATAGACCCGTGATGATTCGCATGCTCGCAAGAAGCGAGCACGCTGTATGTGTGTACGTGCCGAGAGGCGCGTTTCAGAGTGGTTGGGCACGCATTTCCCACGTTGTCGATCTTTCACCTCACAAACACATCAGTCATTCATGTTCTCCCGCCCATTGGTTTAGCCCGTTGGAACCGCCGATGTCGGCCAATCCGTTGTTGGCAGGGATGGAACTTACCGCTCTGGCTGGTTCAGCGCACGTTCCGCGTGGTTGACCGCCTCTACGGTCCCAGTCATGGGTTCACACTCGGAAGTGGAGGTGGATGACGACTTGGTGGTAGTCACTGGCCGCCACACGACAAAAGCCGGTTAGTCGCCGCACGAAGCATCGAGATTCAACAACACTCGCACTCCGGCAGCACCGGCAGTTCTTCCACCAGTCACGCGTTGTACGCTATTGATCGCATAGGAGCGCCGAGAGTCGACGAAGGATGGGCATATTTCGCGAGTTTCCCATAGTCTTCAACCTCTACAAGAAGTACAGTTAGCTCGCGGGACCGTCTCACCGGAGTCTCTCGGAAAGGAGAACCCGTGAATCTCCCCCAGTGCCTGTGAACCAATCTCCGAAATTCTGAGCGTCCAAATAAAAAACACGAAGGTGAGCATCGGAGCAGAGAATGTTGCGTCGTGAGGTAAAGAGGATATGAGGAACTTTAGTCTCTCTCTCTCTCTCGCTCTCTCTCGCTCTCGCTCACTCTCTCTCTCTCTCTCGATGGTACTTGGTCTCTTGCTTTCGCTCTATTAATTCGAACGCAGAACACGTCACTCTAATGACTGCCAATTTGACCAACGGGATCGATCGCAACTGAAATTCGTGGCAGGAGCGTATCGCAGGACGGGCGTTTGTGCGACTAATCGCGACTTCTAAATTTAGCATCGCGCTATATCGCTGAACATTAAAGCCCTAAACACAACGCCAGGCAACAGGCAATAAGAATAAAAATAGACCAATCACAATCGACTATTACAAGAATAATCTATTGTGATTGGTCTATTTTTATTCTTATTGCCTGTTGCCTGGCATTGTGTTTAGGGCTTGACTCTTCCGCGCATTGACCGTTATTTGAAACTGGCAAACGTGGGGGAAAGATATACTCATCGTGACTGACGAAAATTTTGCTCCGTTTGCGTACTTTCCGCCGGTCTCTCAATGCCGATGTATCTTATTGGCTACTTGGCATTAACCGTACCTCGCGGCGCGTACATTCAACAGAGCATGCAGGCAAATATTGAGCTACGGTTGCAAAGTTTACTGACCAATTCGTGTGGCGGGAAAGTAACGGCATGGTCAAATTAAACAAAACTAACAACCAAATTTTTACAAACTTTCGAGCGAATGATTTAATGTTTCCTCGCGATACGCGAAACAGTTCGATATTAAAAATCAAGAATAAATTGGCGCTTACATATTTTACAGTGAAAAAAACATCTGTTTGTCGTCATCGCTGATCGAAGTATTTACCTTCGTTTTATTTTTTGTCGGCTGATTAATCGTGTGAATATTCTGTTGTTGTGCGAGATATAAGTTTTTGTTACTTCGCCGCGTCACTGTGGATTCCAATGTAGATCTACTCGAGTATGTCATTAATTAGTAAAGCTTTTATTCCATTTTGCAGCGAGCGAAAGGCAGGTACATGTTATCCTTCAAAACAGCTTGTTCCGTAAAAAGCAAATGGGCAAGTTTCTGCGAAAAAAACTTGCCGATCACGACAACCAAGAGCCAAAGCTAAGAAAAAAATTCAGTATTGTCCTCGGTTATAAGTGCAAATCGCAAGCAGATATAAAAAACTTATAAATATTATTTTTCAATTTGAATAGAATTCTTGCGTGTTTACATTTAATAACATCGGCAGTGGCACGATAAAATATATTTGATCTACATCAATAATGGAGTATCTGATAAAAAAATATCAAAATATTTTCCTTATAAGAATTTTATATCATAAAAGAGTGGAGGAAAAAAAATCACAGATAAATGTGTGATTCGTGTGTAACTTAAGGAACAGGCAGCCTCATCAAGACGCGAGATTCAGGGTTAAAGTTTAAGCGTGGTTTCGTCACATCGATTCCGTGGAAAAAAGATCCAGCAAATTGCACCGCGAACATTTCTCGCGATTGCGAAGCTTCAGTATTCAGCAGAAGAAGTTGCTGTGATCGGTGGATTAATCTCGGGTCGACAGGGCTATCGGACTGTGTCGCCTTTTTTTTACCACGTAGCTTCGACACCGCCGAACTGCGACTTCGCCAACGACAAAGATCTCTCAGTGCTGGCCGAAACGTTCGCTGGTGATCCTCGCGACGGGTTCCCGTTATCGTCGCCGTAAACGATCGGTAATCAGCTAAGTTTTCAATCGCACCCGAAGCACCTCTCGTATTCGATCGAAACCGGCTTCTACGCGATCGCGATCGCGACCACATCAGAACCATATCTTGATGCACTTGCCGTTGGATCAGTTTCATCACTGACCGCTGGTTCCTTCCAGGTGATATCCCGCAGGAGAAGACCATCCTCACCTAACCACGAAGACGTCCACGTGAAGATCATTCTTCGAACGTAAAGCGAACGCACTCCCTGAGAATCTTGCCAAGATGTCGCAGGTATCAGGAATCATGGAGGAGAAGGATGTGCTGAAGGGAAAACCGACTCTCGTCAGACGTGTCTCCGATATGTTCAAGGGTAAGCGGGCCGCGATCTCGGCGCTCGTGTTATCAAAAGAGTCGGCTGCTTTACAAATAAAATATATATTTTGGCCAATTAATATCTCTTTCTCTGTTCTCTCTCTCTCTCTCTCTCTCTCCCTCTCTCTCTCTCTTTCACTCTCTTTCACTCTTGATATGATCGCTTATCGCGCAAATTACATATTCGCGGTATCGCATAATGAGACTATTTTCAGCACACGAGCGATGATATCCCACGTTTAACGCTCCGCCCGTGAGGCGATTATAATGCAATCATGTTTTCTTTCCTCTTTGATAGACGGGAGCTACAGCGGGCCGCCGATGCTGTTCCGACATGCGTCGATGCAAAAGATCCGTCACTGTTGTCAGAATCTCAATCTGCTGCCTTATCTTCTCTACTCCTTCGACAACTCCAAGTCGCACCCAATAGCGCGCACGGTGCACGTTTATCTCAGCCGCTTCCTGCGCGACATCATCGTCAGCTTTTTCATCGCGTATGAAAATCTACGCCAAGTGGTATTGTACGATTTTTGCAAGCGAAAGTTCAGCAGAGAGCTACCAGAAGAGATCGCGAAACCCGCGAGCGAAGCCGCCGACCGCTTCACCAGTCCGACCGCCAAGTTCAGCAACTTCGAGAGGCCGAAGAATCGCAAACAACGCCCCGTCTTCCTAGTTGCCGCCGTGTATCTCGTGCCGTTGCTGTTGGCCCTCCAGGTGGTGATGCTGTGCAATCTGACGTTCTTCAGCAAGTACACCCCGGGCTTCATCTTCCTCATCTCCGCGCTGCTCTTCCTCGGTGGCATCGCGCTCAAGATACTTTTGCACGGAGTCGTGCTCTACAACATCGGCAAGTGCGAGAGGAAGAAGCTCAAGTGATCCTCCGTCTTCCCTTATTTCGCCGTTTCGGTCAGTCGCTTCGTCGTCTAGAGACAGTAGAAGAGCCGAGAGAGTCCAGGTTTTCCGGATCGAGCTCTTCTTCTTACCGGATTCGAGTTCCCGTGTACGACGACCATTCGCACGGTACCGGAACTTGCTACTCGCGCTGTTGCTGCATATGTTAACACACACGTACACACGGACGTCACACACACACACACACACACACACACACACACACACACACACACACACACACACACACACACACTCGGTCGGTCGGTCTCAGCAGTTTCTTACATTTATCTTGACGTAGCTCTTTTAGATTCCCACTCTCACACTCGATGATCCAGGTCGCGAAGAGATTTCGCGTGTATGTGCACCGAGAGAAAAAAAGGAATTTAAATAATACAGGCATTTATATATCCGGTGGGTACCAATAACACATTTGTTCACACTAATAAACATATTTTTACAACGAGGAAACATTTTGTCAAGCGTGAAGATGTGCATGTGACACTGTGACTTCTGATAGATAAAAGGCAATTGCCTGTTCGATTTAAATAAAAAGATTTCGAGATTTAAGTATAAATATGTGTTACTAGTACCGGCACCGAATAAATATTTCTTTATTTTTTTACGTGTTTCTTCCTCGGTGCATATTCTCGTTTCTTGCATTGTACATTGCCGAAAGTCCGAAGCAACTTTATTCGCGACTATCGCGTAGAGTACATAAACGGCATATGAAGAACGTATCTTCGGTAGACTTAAATAGCGTAAGTAAAGGTTTTATGCGAAGCATAATCTTTATTTTTTCTTAAACGTAATCTTAGAAGACACCACTTTTGCGGTCCTCTTGTACTCTTAACGAAACGACTATCAAGCGTTGCGAGTACCTCGTCCTTTGTAGCATAAGACTGAAGAATCGTTTTAAACGTACCTGTTTGTAAATAAACCGCGCCAATGTGTATGTTGTATAACGCGAGCTAAGGGGGACCTCTCCTCGTCGAGGAGAGGTCGAGATTCTGCTCCAGAGCAGAGCAGCAGGGCTACGGATTTACGTAGGAACTTGGTACGTCCATTGAAAGTCTACTTAGTCTGATCTGTGATGGAGTGGGTGCAAGTGATATATCCCGCGGGCACTTGCAATACCATTTAATTACACGCGATAAGAGTATGTAACGTGTAGGTGCGATTTTTAGAAATATACGCCTTCGACGAGTATAAACCTACGAATACCGGATTTCTCATCCCATCGGCGTGTCGAAGACTTAGTTTTATCTGTACGCGATCAGGATCAATAAAATTAGACTGGCGTAGAGGCAGATTGAGAAAACACGCTGCAACATCGTGGCCGCGTCGTTCGAGTACTTGCCGACTTTCGCGGCGTACGCAATCACGTGCGCCACATAGTTCTGCTCGTGTACGCTGTGAAAAAGATGCGCGTACGGTCCTGCAAAGAAGAAGCGAGGTGTTCAGAGCGATTGAGCTTCGTTGTGACAGGGCCGGGCTTCGCTACGGAGAAATCCCAAGTGTCGATCGCGAGCGGAAACGGCGTTGAGATTGCTTTCCAGCGAGAAGCCCTCCAACTCTTTGAAGCACCATCTCACTCGATGCTTCGTAACATCTGATTAGACATCGTCGATATATACCTATAGCGTACACAGCCACATCGCCGCCGCCGTGATAAGCCTCGTCCGTTATGATCGTGGCCTGTTGACTGTAAGTGAAATCAGTGGTGTTCGATTGGGACGGATCGATCCTCACGACTTGACCGTTTTCTTTCACGGTGTAGGCGACATTATTCGGGCCGCCCGTGCTGTAGGACAATGTCGTGTACGGTATACCATCGTACTTGGATCTCTGAGCGATCTCTGAAACGGTCTCGCGTTAAGACAAGATTTGCCTGGTCGGCAGACGGCATCATCGCACGTCGGTCTTACCCAAAATGGATGAGCCCCGAGCACTGTATCCATTGAAGCTCATCGAGTGAGAGTGATCGCTGGTGACTATGACGAGAGTGTCTTCGATGTTGACCATTCGAAGAGTGGCGTCGACGGCGTCCGAGAAACGGACTGTCTCCAGGAGAGCTTGGGCCGCGTGGCCTCGGTGGTGAGCAAAGTCTATCAAGCCACCTTCGACCTGAAAGAGCGATCGTGTGTCTGTGTCTGCGGTCAGTTTCGCTGAGAGAGCGGATCTGCTACTACCATCAGGAAATAGCCCTCTGGATACTTTTGAAGAACGCGTAAGGCGGCAATGGTCATTTGTTCCAAACTGGGTTGTCCCCTGGGACCTCGTTCGCGCTTCCAGTCCATCTCGATGTGGCCGTTGGCGAAGATACCGAGTAGATAATCCACATTGTTGACATCGAGGCGGAATAACTCCTCATTGTTTTGGACCACATTCCAGGCCAGCATACGGTCGGACTTGTCCTTCATCCACTCATCGATGAGGTCACGGCCGTCTCGCCGGTAGCAGGCCCAAGTGTCCACCGGGTCAAACTTACTCGCGTTCACGTTGGATTTCATCATCTGTCTACCACCGCCCATGATCACCTGGCGGACAATACGAAACGCCAGTGTCAGTTGCCTCGCTACAGTCTCGTTTATTTTACTCTATTTACTCGAATATTCTTCCCGGGCTCATCCTCCACTAATTGCCGGGCGATATCCTTGCAGCCGGTGGCGTTCTTCGGCATTTTGGCCTCGCATTCCCATCGACGATTCGCACAGTGCGCGTAAAGCGGAGCTGGGGTCGCGTGGGTAACTCGAGTGGTCGTTACGAAACCTATATTTTATGTTATGTTATCGTTTGTATCAGACTGTAGATAAGCCAATATTCCGCCATATAAAGTCTAGTAGTCCAACAGCCCAAAGATCTTTCTTTGGATATCGTGGTGGTAAAGCAAAATTTCCTATTTTACTTTGACACACACACACATAAAGTGTTTTAAAATCAATCACTATCAACACGTGTCGCTCTTTCGGTACTCTTTTCTTGTCCACTAAGTCAATTTACGCAACACACGAGGGTGGTCCGATAAGTACTTAGCCTGCAAAAGAAAAACGAAAATTTTGGAAAAGTGGCGATTTATTTCTCAACATAGTCTCCTCTTAGCTCGATACACTTGACCCAACGATGCGCCAACTTCTTTAACCCGTCTGAAAAATACGTTTTCTCGAGGTCTGCAAAGTAGGCCTCCGTGGCGGCGATGACCTTCTCATTCGACTCAAATTTCTGCCCGGCGAGTGACTTTCAAGTTTGGAAACAAAAAGAAGTCGCACGGGGCCAAATCTGGAGAATACGGTGGATGGGGCAGCAGTTCGTAGCCCAATTCGACCAATTTGACCGTGGCGAGGGCGGAGGTGTGAGCCGCGGTGCGTTGTCATGGTGGAAGAGCACTTTTTTCTTCGCCAAATGGGGCCGTTTTTTCGGCAATTCGGCGTCGAATCGGCCCAATAATTCGGCATAGTACAGCCCTGTGACCGTTTTGCCCTTCTCCAGGTAGTCGATGTAGATCACACCTTGTGAATCTCAGAAAACGGTGGCCATCACCTTTCCGGCCGATAGGACAGTCTTCGCCTTCTTCGGAGCACGTTCGCCGGGTGAAGTCCACTGTTTCGACTGTTCCTTGGTCTCTGGTGTGTACCAGTGGATCCATGTTTCGTCGACGGTCACGAAACGACGCAGAAACTCCTTCGGATTGCGCTTAAACAGCGTCAAACACTGCTCTGAAGTGGTCTCACGGTTGCGCTTGTTGTCCGGAGTGAGCAAACGCGGCACCCATCGCGCCGACAGCTTTCTCATGCCCAAAATTTCACGCAGGATATGACCCACGCGCGGTCTTTTGAGATGCCTACTGTCTCAGCTATCTCGCGCACCTTCAATCGGCGGTCTGCCAATACGAGATCGTGGATTTTTGTCATGTTATCCTTCGTGGTAGCCGTTTTCGGGGCACCTGAGCGTGGCTCATCAAAAACCGACGTGCGACCACGTTGAAACTCGTTAAACCAATTTTTGACGGTCGCCATCGAAGGAGAAGAGTCACCGCATCCACACAGCATCCAAGCGCTCTTTGATTTCGTTGCGCGATTTCCCTTCCAAAAACAAGAATCGAATCACCGACCGATATTGCTCCTTTTCCATTTTTCTAAAATCCGCGGACACGCCCGCTTCCTCACGCGGTCAAAACAAAACTACGAGTCCGATTCGGCTGAAATTTCGACAGTAGCCGTCTACGAGAATGTACTACACGATAGTAAATTTCTCTTGCGATAGCGGCGCCATCGGGCGGTGAGGCTAAGTACTTATCGGACCGCCCTCGTATGTAACACCTGGTGTTGCTGCTTGCGGTTCAAACCTGACCTGTGGCTTTACCGGCTGCTTGGGCCCATGCTATGAATGAATCGACATGGTAATCTGCATTCAGGCTCGCCTCGCAATCTCCCAATTGCACATGCGCGTCCACCCCAACGACCTCGTAATTTGTCTTGACTCCGCCGAAGAGCGCAGTGGCGGTAGAAGCCGAATCTGGCACTTGTTTGTTCGTATTATAGGTCTACATGGTGATGAATAATGTATATTTGGTTTTATATGTAATTTGTCACTTTCAATATGCGAATAACAAAAAAAGGCAACGTGACGCGTTATAGAAAAACTCGACTATCTGACCTAAAGGAACAGCAAGAAGTGACCCCTCACCGATTTCATCAGTGTATTTGAGCTCTGTCGATAGGTTATGTCGAGGCATGAAACCCCATAAAGGCTTTTGCTCGGAAACGTTTTCTTCGGGAGAGAGAGAGAGAGGGAGAGAGAGAGAGAGAGAGAGAGAGAGAGAGAGAGAGAGAGAGAGAGAGAGAGACAAAACCGTTGAAGAGTAATAGGTCTAAAATCGAAATGACTATTTTTCATCGTCCTGGCAAGCGTAGGAAACAGATTTTTTTTTCTTGAAGGCGGTATTGTCGTCTAGAAATTGGAAAAACCGATTTTGAGTTCTTTGGCTTTTATTATACTACAGATTTTCTGAAATATAGCTGTTCGTATAAAAATCGTATAGTGAAATTCGTAAAACTGGCTGAAGTAACGAATGTTATAGCAATTCTGAAAAGTACGGTCGCGCGGGGAACGTAGCCGAGACGCAGCTGCGCCTTTCTGCTGTTTCCTTTGTTGTTCGGTTGTTTGTTATTTTGATACCTGCTCGGGATACCTTAGTAGGCCCGTTTGGGGCCTTATATTGAAAGAAAAAAGATACATTCTGTATAACCAGTTTAGCCAAAAAAAAGAAGCCTTTTGTTATTCGGTTTAGTTTCGTCTCGACCTCTGAACGAAGTAGACACGAACATACAGCAAAATGAATAGTAGGAAAGGTTTGAAAACTAATATATCTCGCACGTGTCAGAGTTCAGTGACCAGAAAAAGAAAATTCAGAGAAAATCAGCATACCGGAGAAACGAGTGAAAGTTTTACAAGTACAACAGCAACGAAGTTGCGAAGAACTGGTGACGAGGAAATTTCGCTTGATATACAACACGGTTATTGTCAATATATCAAAAGAAGCCGGGATTGCTAAAAGAGAAGCACTATGTATTGACAATCATCAATTTTACGAGAAAGAGGAAGAAGCCATTTATGGATCCGTGTTGACTGATTGACCAGTAAATATCAATAATTTGATTTAAACTTCATCAAACGGTACGAAAATTTTAAACGCGGTTTTCTCAAAACTATGTTTCTCAAATCGGCAACCACTCGATAATCAATTGGCCGATTGAGCTCTAAGTTAGTATTTACCTTCAGTCGACTGTTTTTGAACGTTGGTAGCAGAATTGAGTCGAAATAATTTTTTTTTTTATAACTCGCTGAAGGGGAAGAAACGTGGGAAAAATTGACAATCAAATCCCCAAGTAATCACCTTTAGGCCGATCAAGTACTTTTCAGACACTTAATTGATAAACGGATAGTAAATGTTTGCGGCCGCCATATTGGATCCGTCATTTTGGAATTAGAAATTCCGACTGCAGCTTTGTAATCAGTGACCTCGAAAACTCCTAAGTAGTCATTTTCAGACTGATTCAAATGTTTTTAACTGACGTAGGCAAATCAACTTTTCGCAATTGTGGACAACCCCACTAATATAAACACAATCTCAAAAACACAACTTTCCCGGGGTTTTCAGAGGATTCTGATAGCATAATCGTGTTCAGCAGGTCGAAAACTTAAAGAAAAAATTTGTTTCCTGCGTTTGCCAGGACGGAGAAAAATAGTCACTTCGTTTTTAGACCTATTACGCTTCAACGGTTTTCTGTCTCTCTCTCTCTCTCTCTCCCGTACAAAACGTTCCCGAGACAAAAGCCTTTATGGGGTTTCATACCTCGACATAATCGACCTATCGATAGAGCTCAAATACATTGAAATCGGTGAAGGGTCACTTTTTGCGGTTCTCTTGTGAGATAAAAATTTGAACGGGTCGACCTTCAGGATTCCGATATGGGGAAAATGTTCCCATGCGAGTCGACTGGTTTCACCGGCGCGATAAATCCTGCTGGCAGTTATGGTGTCCCCGCTCATCCCGTCGCCCAAGAAAAGAATCACATTTTTCGCTTTCTTCGTGTTCCAGCGATACGATAGAGACTCTTCCAGTTCTTTGTCCGCCAAGTCGCGCCAGTACCGACTGTCTGCGCCAAAAAACAACGATACGTCGTTCAATCGTCTTCCTTATTTGACAGGCATTACTCGTGCAAATATGGTACAGCAGGATTTAGGGAGTGGAGTGAGTTTTTATCTACCGGAAAGTAATGCTGCATTTTTCCGAATCGTCACGAGAACGAGACCGAGATTTACTCGTCGTAAATTTCGTCGATAAGGAGGTACGCTCTCGTACGGGTAAGATTGGTCTCGTGTCCTTGAAATACACGTCACGATAGCGTATCATGAAGTTTCGTGAACTATGAGGATCATAGGTCAATGAGTCCTTACTTGCGAGACATGTGATGCGAGTGTGTGTGATTAAATTGTGATACTTGTATTCAAATACCTTCGATTGCAGTTGCAAGCAAGAACTCACAAAGACATGCGGCGAAGCAGACGGCGAGAAACCTCATCTTTCTGTTATTAAATTTGCGCTTTAAACTCACGTTGGCAGATTGGCTCGTTGTGCGAAGGAGACAAGGCACGCTTCGGATCAAACTTATTCGGACGTCGGTCTTCGCGTCCTCTGCTGAGACGCGACATGAATCGTGCGGAGAGGATTATGTCGAACGGTAACAAAGATCTCTGCAACGTGAAGTCGAGTCGTCAAATCGAGCGTCTGACGAGATCGCGAAGGAAAGGAAGCCACTCTGCACGACTGAAATCGACGTACGGTAATTTAGCGCCAATTTACTGGGACCAGATAGCGTTCGCGTATATAAGAATCAGCAATCACGGTGTCATCCGCAAGGAGAGGCGAAAAGAAGGGAAAATGAGAGAAATAATTCCGATTCAGCTAACATTCATCGTAACGTTTTATTTGATTTGTTGTTTATATCCATTGTCCGTGTTCTTACAGACCGCAACACATCGCGTAATATAATCTTTTATAAGTTTCCATCCTTCTCTCCTATTCTCTCTTTCGCTCTTTCGCCATTTTCTTCCTCTTCGTCTTTCGTTAGTCTTTGAACAAAACTACTAAAAATAGACTCGATAAAATCAACCGCTCAAGCTTTTTCATATTCTCTCGCTTTAGTCGCGAGCGCGAGTCGATGAGATCCGAGATGCAGTCGAAGAATACATATACATTCGAGAAGAGGGAAGAGAAGGGGCAAAGCCCTGAAAATTTCTAGAAAGCTCGCAATAGATGAAACGGAAACTCGGCTACTCTCTCGTCATCTGGCTGTTAACGTATTCGTTTCGCTCCGGCATGAACGTTTGTCGTCGTTCAAAATGAGCTTCGCATATCGCACGAGATCAACGAATGTCTCCCGTTCGTCCGTCCGTCCGAGCGAACGAGGTGCATGAGGTGGTTGTCGCGAAATTATTTCTATATTATCTCCGCGTTCGATGTCCTTGACACGATTGGCCGCAGACAATTTTGATTTTATGCAACTCGCACACCTTGACATTCGATCTCCCAGGTCGAGACGGCGTCTCGTTTCGCTCTCGGTAAATACGGCAGGGTAGGTAGGTAGGTGAGTAAGTACAGGTAGTTTCATAAGAAAGCAAAATCGAAAGGAAATTTCTTTTGGGAAGGGAACGAAAAAAAAAAAACGGCACCACCAGCTCTCGAACGGAAGGCAACGTTTAACTCGCTCGTCTAATCTCAGTTAACGCAAAAACTTCTCGATATCGCCTGTTAAAAGGGTACAACATGGGATTTTTCGTTAAGTCGTTACGCGAGCATTACGCTGAAACTCGAGTCGAGCACACCCGGGCCTCGTCCTTCCTGCGGGACGAGGATCGCCGTGCCGATGTCGATCTAATTATAAACTGTGTCTACAAATTTTGCCTTATAGATATATGTATATATAATAAAGTACAATAAAGTCGTTCCTTCTCGTTATACGTCTAACCGTGATATACGCGTACTTTCGTACTATCGCACGCAGACGAGATACAATCGTCACCCACCCCTCCTCGTCCCTTCTTCTGCGCACACCTTCTTTTGTTATCCTTCTTAGATCGAAGATTATTGCCAACGATTACGCTACTTTCTCCTCTTCACCGGTTTCCTTTCGCCTCTCCGATATCGACCCTCAGCCACTGCGATGAGATCAAATATGACCTCGGCGCACGTGTGTCCCATTAAGCATCGGTTGAAATTTGCGGCTTGCCTTGCAGCTCGGTTGTGTTTCAGGGCAGGGCCCTGAATTTTCATGTTCGCGCGTGATTCACGCGTACGACCGCACTTTTCCAAGCATGGCATCGAGTCAAGCAATGCGAAGCAAAAAAGTAAAAGAACAGACCTCGCCGCTTCTTCAGTGCGCGCGTCAAATGCGTCGTTTATTGCTCAACTACTCATTATGAGATCAATGAAATCGATCTCATCGCAGTACCATCATATCACTCGCGCCTGTCAAATTCCACGACCGTTGAGAGAATTCATCACGCGAGAGGTTCAGCGAATCGGTTACGTCGGAGGAGACGACCCCGCGGTCTCACCCTCGCGCGAGCTTCGTCCCAAGCAGATTCTCGCGAATGTTTCTCCGCGTGTTTTATCCCAATGCAATCTTGTCGCGGACGTAGACATTTCCTGTTGGCGTGACTCTGAGAGGTCGAATCGGATCGATTTTTGCCGACCGCGCGAAGCTCAGCCAGCCGTCGTCGCCGTACGTACACGAAGGTACGTACGGCGACGGAGGTCGACGAGTGGACGAACACTCGCGCGCCGCAACCATCATCGCTCGCGAAACGCTCGCAACATCCGCGGCGACGGTGTTCGACGGTGGTGCTCGATAAAATTGACTTAACGACGGTGACGAGAAGCGACGCTCGCCGTCGCGGCGCTTTTTTTTCGCAGCACACTCTCGCCTCCTCTGGACAGGCGCTCTGTTACGCTCGCGCTCGTTACACACAGCTCCTCCTTCGCTCTCGTCTCGGGATTCGAGAAAGTCTCGCCCTCGCGTACAGAGGGCGTGAGCCGTGTTGTGAGAAAAATCTCCTAAATCCTAAAATGTTGAATGATTTCTCGCGACGACCGGTCCTCGACAATCTCTGCGGCAATCTGGCTTGAAAATTAATATTCCTATACCCTCTTGAGCGGATGTCGCGCTTAAGGACTCGATCGAATCCTCAAGAAGATGTTTTTCATCTTTTGTCCGTTCATTTTGTCGATAGGAGGGATCTTCCTATTGAATTTAATTGGACACTGCCTCTCTCCCATCCTCGCGATTCTTTTCGCAATCGTCCGTCGCAATCATCCTCACTTTCATCACGTCGAGTTGTCTAGAGGACCGCTCGAAGGTCGAAGACATGGCTCATGCGCTCATTTTGATTATTGAGTGCGCTGTGCGAGTCGCACGGGCTCGTCACAGTTGGGATCGATGCAACGGGCGTGATAATTGACGGTTAACGTTACACGCTAATTCATATAGCGTCGTCGAATTAGCCTCATTGTCGCTCGTGATTGTGTCGTGCAATTACTTTAGCTCCGCCGGCGTTTGCATCGCGCGCGCGGCGTGCGTGAGGGAGAGAGAGAGAGAGAGAGAGAAAGAGAAAGAGAGACGAAAATTGGGTCGTCTCAGCGAGCGGTGCAACGCGGCTCAAACGAGGACGCTAATTAAAATCGACTAATTACTATTGATATGTGCGCGCGGTCGCTTTTAACATACAATTAAAATCGCCGTCCAATTTCTTCACGAATATCGCCGCTGTCGTTTCTTGGGCAACGCTGATTCCCTACTCCCATTACGTATACATGATTTCTAAATCGACGAACCATAACAGTGTAATTTCAACGTCAGCATCACGCTGAATAAATGATTATATACAGAGATTTGCAACTAAGGAGTGATAACTTATTTATTCCGCAGCTGAGACATCTTTGCAGCGATAGTTCGAAAAATTGGTTCGGTCATAGAGGCGTATTTGTTTCTACGGCATTTGATGGAAATTGAAAGTAGGAATTATTCATCGATCGAGATAAACCGATTATTTTGGCTAATTTTCGACGACTTTAAGCATTTTAAGCTTGATCCTGAAGTCAACCGTAACTTCTTTCAGAGACAAAATTGTATGCACGCGCACAGATATGGTTCGTGATTCACAGTACGATTATCGTACTTGGCGCGTGCCTCACACGGCGGTGAGTCAACTTATTGAATCAACTTATTAAAAGACCGTCCGATGTTCGATACTTTTATCGTCGTTTGCGTTAAAAACTGCGCATCGAGCTCGATCCCACGAGAGAGTGAATAACCAAGGAATAAGAAATGGCATTTGAGACTTTCTCATCCGTCCCCGCTATCATAATGTGACAGCTCGTAATAGTTCGTGACTTTCGAAAGGTTTCACGAAAGCCTCGCGCTCTTTTTCAGTTTACAAAAGAAGTATTGTCATTATTATTAAACCGTCAATGCTACATTAAAACGGCGATAAAGTAACACTGAATTTCCCGTCGACGAGAGGTCGCCCGTCCGGATCGTTAGAGATCCTCTGACGTCGCCACCTCTCGTGCTCATCGATCCTTTTGATATCGAGACTTGCAGTTAATCTGGACATACGCAGATTTCGTAAAAAATTGCTTTTGATTTTCGGCTGCTTTTTACGGGAGACTCGCAAGGCGATAGACAATCGAGATCAGGGGCGAAATTTTAAGAATCCTCGAAGAATCGTTCGCGTATCGCGTGCGTGTACACGCGTGTGCCTTGGTGACACACTCACGCGCGCGCGCACGCACACACACACACACACACACACGCACAAACACACACACACACACACACACGCGCACACACACACACACACATACAGGGGGTTTTCGTCGTTTAAAGTTAAAGTTAAAGTCAGCGCGTAACTCTCATGTAACTTTGCGTATTTTTCTTTTTCTGTTTTCTTCTTTTCTTTTTTTCTTTAAATCCATCACGAGGAATCTACTGAACGTTGTAGAATATAGCGATTCATAATCAATTGCTTGATTCGTTAGGTAGTATTAATAGAAGTAGTAGTAGCAGCAGTAGTAGTCACTCGCGGATTGCCGAGCGAGAAGAAAGGTCGAACCGAAGGTAATCAATAACAAGAGTTTCTTCTATGAGCCTACGAATTCACAAACAGTAACGAGACACGCGCTGTGTTTCAAAAATCGGCTCTGTCTCTCTCTATTTATAATATGTATATGTATGTATGTATGTATGTATATATATATATATATTTTTATAAATGTATATTGTACTATACATATATAAGACTATCTCGTTATATATTAGCTATACTCTCTCGCGTTTTAACAAATCGATCTTATTAGGCTACCCTCGTACGCGACGTACGATTCTGTTCGCGCGGCATGAAAGTCTTTCGCGAGCTCGCTTGCGAAATCCTCTGTGGAGTGTATTTACAACGTACGACAGGTGTGGGAGTATCTAACGCGGAATGGGCGACACAGGGGGAGCGGGGTAACACGCTCGCGTCTACTTTTTATCTTCTCCTCGATTCATCGGAAGAATCTCAAAGAGCGAGAGAACGCCGCCGACCCGTCAGATTTCCCACGTTGAGTCATCCGGGGGACGAGGGGTGGCCTCCCGTACGAACGATTCTCTCTCCCGCGTCTCTCTGAGATTAGAATAAATTTCTTCCCGCTACTCCCTCTCTCTCTCTCTCTCTCTGCGCCACTCCGACGAGGTTGACAAATTGTATTTTTTATCTCGCGAGCGTCCTGCCCCGCGTGATTCTGCAATGAGCTGAGATGAGATGTCGGGGGTGAGATGTAGGGATGGGACGAAAGGACCGAGAGTCGAGTGTTTTTCTTTCCAATGTCGAGGACACGATGGCTAGTTTAAATTGACTGGAGGAACGGGATTATCGATTATCTCGAATTGGCGGTCGGCGATTAAACGTCGCGGTGAAGATGCCCGTCGCGTCGATGAATCAGGTCGAGTATACTCCGCGATGGTTTTCCGTGTAACCGATAGAGAGATCACATTTGCGCGTCGGTTTTATTAATCCTAAAATGTACGTACGAGCGTGTACGTGTTTTAGCAGCTTGAACCGAATAAAAAATCTCATGGGGATGTGACACACGCGGGTGAGCTGCTGTCGTCAGCACAGACAAAAGTCGACGAGGGTGCGCAGGGTGCTCGGAATGGTGGTGGTGGTGCGGGGGAGGGGGGAGGGGAAGAGAATAAAGGGGAAATCGCGACGATGAGACGAGGGGATGTGAGTAAGGTCGGAACAATTCGCTCGGGTTCTAGATTAACAGCGCTATAGCTCGAGTTGCCCTATCGATAATAGTATTAGTCCGCGATAACTCGATATGACGGGTTACTAAAGTTTGGCCGCTTCTAGAATTTTCTTAGGTATACTGTTTTACCTTCCACTACACTCTCCCGCTCGAGCCTCCGAAGACGGTCCGAAGACGACGGTCGGTCCGGGACGAGTCACGGTGCGCGCTCGCGACGATTGCTCGTTGCGTCGCGCTTTTGGTCTCAGGACTACCCATAATCTGTTCTCAAGCCACAACCGGACCACGAGAATAGCCGATGATTCGTCGCGGATTTCCCAACAACGACAGAATCATCATTGTAATCACGCGACGCGCTCGCCTCTTTGGGAAACCGCTTCTTCGTGCTAGGCCATTTTTATTAGTCGGTAGCTAGCAGCTGGAATTTTCAAGAGGCCTTCAAACGAACACTCTCTCTCTCTCTCTCTCTCTCTCTCTCTCTCTCTCTCTCTCTCTCTTTCTGCCCGCGGAACCCCGTTACTCCCGCGAATCTCGCGCCAACTGTTTCCCCGTAACTCGTCGCGCCCAACGCGCGTTTTCGGTCTCTCTTCTGTACGCGAGTACAGGACACCGGAGGAAGTCTACGTCAGTCGTCATCGTGGACTCGGCGAGTCCTCGGCAGGCCTGTACCGCACACACAGATCAAACTGTCGATACCCATTTCGCCAGATCTGCGCGCGATCGGATCCCCCTACTTGTCGTCCCTAAGAAGAGCTTCCTCCGCTTCCTTCCGCCGCGCTTTCGCTTCCTTCTTCGCACGCTTCTTCTCCTCCTTCGCAAGCTTCTTCGCTTCCTTCTGCCTGCTCTTCTCCGCCTTCTCCTCCTCTTTCTGTCGCGCCTTCTCCGCCTTCTCACGCTCCTTCTCCCGTTCCTTCTCCTTCTTCGACTTCTGCACCTCCTGGACCACCGACATCTTCGGCGCGGACGCCGGCCTCTTGGATGCGGCGCGACCGCACGACGACGAGGAGGACGTCGACGTGCTGACGACGCCGGAAGTGCCCCTCGGGCTCGGCGTCGATTCCAGCTGCGTCACGATCTTTTGAGCGCATCTGCGAACCCGTCAATCGCACGAGTCAATTACACGATATCTCATATCTCCCGCGAGTGTCCCTATCCGCCTAAAGTGCCGCAAGTCGCAAGTCGCTACCTGATTCTGGTGGACGCCTTGCCGGCGCGGTAGTCCCGCTGGAACTCTTTGATCGGCGGCAATCGGCGCTCCCGGTTTTCCCTCATCACCTCCTCCTCCTCGCTCACTTGCTGAACTGGGTCCTGGTATTCCTGTTAATTTCGACAGACCATGCGTATGCGTGTGTCGTCGAGCGCACAGAGGAGCTGTCCACCTCGGTGAGCTCTGAACGATACGCACGCGAGTCGCGCGCGTATCGTTCAGCCGCTCGGCGACGAGAGGCGAGAGGCGCGCGACGCGTCTCTCTGAAACGTACTTGTCTACATCGACGAGAAATCGCTAACCTGAATCCGCATTTTCATCGACTGCGTCTGCGAACGCCGGAGAGTGGCGCCTGTGGGTTGCCGTACCCTCGTGGGCTTGCCGAGCGTGGAACTTCCGGTGCTACTCGCGGACGAGGAAGTTGCCGAAGAGACGGAAGACACCCCTGCGCGAGCGAGCGATGCCAATTCAGAGAATGCGTCACAATCTTTTCTACGGCGATTTCCTACGACTCCGTGTCTTAAGGACCAAGCGAATCGCACACGGCTACCGTGCGACGATTCGCGGCTACGTGCTACGAACCAGATATGGAGGACGAGCCGCTGGCCATCGAGTATAGAGAGGCAGAGGCTGGCACGCTTCCGGTTCCCCACCTGCCGCCGGGACCGGACACACCGGCGGTCACGCCCGTGCCCATGTTGTACTCGGACGCGCTTTGCGGCAGTACCCAGGATTTACCCGACATCGAGTACTATAAGCCAGAACAATCTCACAGTGCGCACAATCGACCGCTGATTCCCCGAGTGAGCGAGACACCAAGGGAACGCTAATTCGCCAATCCCGAACTCCGTCGGCTAATTGATAAGATTACGACAGAAATCTACAAGCGATGTTGCTCTTGTCCTTTTCTCTCGCGCTCTCTCTCTCTCTCTCTCTCTCTCTCTCTCTCTCTCTCTCTCTCTCTCTCTCTCTCTCTCTCTCCCTCTCTCTCTCTCTCTCTCTCTCTCTCTGCGTGCGCGACGCGTGTTTTCTACCGAACGGAGTGCTAACGAACTCTCCCCTGGGATTGGTTATTTGTCGAGCACGATCGATCGCGCAACGTCGGATCGAGCAAGTAGCGATATTTCCAGCGGTTTCGACTGGTGAAAATTGTCTTTGAGTGTCACAGCTTGTGTGTGTGTATGTGTGTGTGTGTGTGTGTGTTTGTACGCGGCAACCGTATTGCCTGTAAAGGCGCTGACGGCTTTGTAAATGCGCTCCAATTAGCAGCGCGATTTTCATCACACCTCGTCGCGCTCACGCCGGGAACCCCGTGAATCCCGCCGACGCGTTTTGTACGAAACAGAGACACGGAACGGACGACCGCGACAGCCGCGACGAGGGGAATTGATACAGAACAGATCTCACTACGGCGGCGGCTTTCCACCGCGGCGAGCGAAAGAAGAAATGTAAACGTCGAAAGAGAGGAAAGTAATCGACGGCTGCGCGAGTGCTCGCTCGCTCGAGAGAGGGAGAGAGAGAGAGAGAGAGAGAGAGAGAGAGAGAGAGAGAGAGAGAGAGAGAGAGTGAAAAGGTCCCTCCTGCGATCAAACGCGCTATCGTTACTTACGTCACGTGGAATAAGGGTCTGCTTCAGACGAAGGATCTTCGCTCTGCATATGACGCATCTCAGCGGCAAGAGCCTCTGAGAGACCGCCATTTGTATCGTCTTGACGAAGCAACGTCTGTAAAAACGGCGGTCATGAGCGAATATTGAGATTTCGTAATTAAAGAAACGACCTCTTTTAATGCACACAGAAATCAAGTGTCTATCGCGCGCGCGCGCGGCGCTGTGTGACGTGCCGAGGTTATAATTAATCGTAATTATCGCAGGTTCTTCGTGCGGCGGCCAAAGAAAAATGTAGCTTCGGTAGAAAGTTGCCGAGGGCGGGAAAAACGTTTACGCTCACTCGAAATTCTTTTACCCACCTGCAGACCACTCGATGCCCGCACGGCGCCGTTTGCATTGTCGCCCTCGCGTTTACGCATATGACGCACTGAAAAAAATAACGAAGCAGTCGTAGGGACGCGCACTACAATATTGAAAACGGAGCTTGATTGGCAATCGCACAGACGATACCGCGTATCGATACTGGACGGGAGAGGATCGATAAAGAGCGAAAAAGAGGGGCGAAAGGGAGAGAAAAGAAGGGAAAGTGAGAGATCGCGACCGCTTTTTCGCTCGCTTTTCATCGTGCTCTTCTACTTTTATATTTACGTATTACGGTTTTTGTATTTGCACCTGTGTGTGTGTGTGTGTGTGTGTGAACGTTTCATTGAAGCCCGCGGATATGCGCCGCCGAGATAACGCGCCGTTGTTGTTCGCACGCGACCAAGACGGCGGCCGCTATGCGCCGCCGGTGTAACGTAATTAGGCGTCGCTTTAATCGAAATATTAATAGCTCGTCGAGAGTGGGCGAACGAACGTCAGGAGTCGAAGGGTTGCGCGATCGTCACTTTGTCATCGCCGTTAATCGACTTTTGCGACCGATTGGGCGAGCAATTCGTTCGGAAATTGCGACTCTTCCGGATGAACGGTCGTATTTTGCGCGCGGTATAGGAGGCCGCTCTTCGTCGTTATCGTCGTTTACTTTATCGCGCGACTCGACTCGCCGATAATCGAAAGAGTGCGGCTTAGCCAATCGGAAGGACATAAAGTCGACCTTCTGACGTAATACACGCTGACGACTGCACCACATTTTTGACGATCCACAGCAGGAGAGAGAGAGCGGACATACATCTCGTTTATTTCTCACATCTCACACAATTTTCACATTTTTCGCACTCCTTTTTTTCCGCACCGTATTTTGCACCGGCATTGGGGCCATTCGCGAAATTGTCCACGGGAACGATTTTGCAGAATTCTCGCGACGAGAATTCCGAATCCGAATGCACGGTACTCGTCGGCGTAATTTCCATCGGGTTTCACTTTCGCTCACTAATTCCGATCTCTGTTCCTACGTAAACACAGGGATTGTTCAGCTCGCGAATTAACCGGCGGGCGAAAAGGATATCCTTCATCTCTCTCCGGCGTTTCGCGTTCTCTGCCTCTGTCTTCACCGGACGTAGGAGACAGAAGAAATTGCATTCGCTCGCCAATCACGCCGGGCTCGCTTACGAATTAAGCTTGATTGCCCGTCACGAAGTGGATAGTGCCGGACAATGAAGTCAACCCTAAGGTATCTTAAAGAGGAAAGTGCAGGGATTAACGGGAAGAGAGGAAACGACCGTGTCGAATGCCAGTCCAAGCGGAGAAACAGCTTTTCGCGGCGATCGCGAGAAAGGGAAATTTTGCCGTTGAGAATTCTCTCTCTCTCTCTCTCTCTCTCGCCGAGACGGCTCGTCACGAGCTCGTCGTTCTGCGAAAATTCATTCTCCCTGGCATTTCCTCAACCGCTCGTCCCTTACCTCGTCCTCCTGCGAGGATGCCAACTCCGGCTCGTTCTCCTCCAGTTTCGTCAACAACTTGTCCTGCAAGCAGAAGAGAGATCTCTCTCGTCAGAATGTCGTGTGAATCGCTCTCGCTCGAATAGCCCTCGTCATGGGGCAAAAATCCGATCATTGAGATACACGTCGCCCTCTTCCGCAAGAGAACGCCGTTCTCGAGCGGCGAGAGAGGAATTCCTCCGCGGCTCAACGGTTTCGCGCGCACCGTTTCGACAAAGCGTTCCCGCCGGCACGGGGGGGCGGCAGACAATTAAAGCAGTTTCGTAATGCGCCCATTCTCGCTCACGGCGCGGCGCATAATCGCAACGCGCCGCTTGTAAAAAAAGCAGAAAAAGAGGAGGAAAGTAGATCGTAACGCCCGCGCGCGCGGTGCACACCGAGATGACGGCGCAGCGCAGCTCTACAAAACGATCAGCTGGCACTGATTCCCGCCAGTATGCTCTTGAATCCGGTTTAAGACGATCCGGCACCTCGAAAGGCTCCTCGGTGCAACGCGCGTCGTTCGGCTGCGCTCGACGAGATGTCAATCCCGTCACTTCTCGTGCCCATGCTTTGTTACGTGTACATTTTCCGAAGAGGTAAATCGAGGCTAGGGCGAATATATAATCGCACGATATTACGATTTTCTTCATCTCTGTTTCGGCGACGAGTAACCACGTTACGATCGCCACGGCCACGAGTGCATTGTAAAGTGAACACGTACATAACGCTAATGCGGTAAAACATTGTAGAGTGCAGCGTAATTACGCCGGTGATGCCGTGTTGATATCAACCCTCGCCTGAGCCGTGTCCGGTACAGTATAATTTCTAATAATTAACGAAGCGCATGTGGAATTATCAATTTCCGCCGGTACGAGCTGCGAATACGCGACCGCGCCGTTTGAACGCCGAGATCGTCGAGCGTCGAACGCGCGCGTCGAAGAGCGCCGGGGAGAAAAGAAAAAAAAAACTGTTAACCGCCGGCGAAGCGAAACTAGATCACGCTTGTTATTCGTGCGAATTCGTCATGCGCCGATAGAGCAGCCGGCGCGTGAACGCACGCAATCGTGTTAAGCGTAATTCCGTTTCATTAATAACGCCGGCAGCCGCCGACGTGATTTGCAGCAACGGCGGCGGCGAGCGATGTACGGCGTGGGAACATCGGCGGTAATTAGCGCAAATGACGAATCACTCGCTCACGGCGCGAGACGCGATTTTGGCAGAAACTTCCCCGTGAAAACGGGGGTACGGGTTGTTTTTTCGAAGCGAAACATCTGCAAACAATCACAGAGGCGTTATCCGCCGATCGGCTGATCCGCTAATTCTGATTCGTCTGATCTCGTGACGCCGTTGTCTTACGTCTCCGATTCCGGCGGCCTGGTATGCCGGCGCGGAACATTGAACAGGGGAACTCGACGAAATGAGGTAATCAGAACGTGTCCCGCGTGAAAAACCCGTTTATACGGTACGATAAATATGCGCGATGTGCGGCAAAATGCAGCAACGTGTTAGCAACGTCGCTACTACTCCAGTGGGACGAAGAGAGACGGGCGCGATTTTTCCTATCTACCCGGGTGGAAGATCCTTCCTGCCATTCTCGTCGCAATCGTCGAAACTGCCAACGTCACGCCGCGTCACGTTGCGAATGGACTTGCTTTCACCTTAAAATTAAGGAGCCTGAGTCCGCGCACTCAGTCAGATCCGGTGACCCCTTAAACTTGATGCAACGCTTAATTTGCAACGCATCGTGACATTGAATTCTGCCGCGAGCGAGAGAAAATTGCGTGCTCGTCGAAGCTTGCCTCGGTCTCTCGCGTTCAGAGCGATGTAGACGTGTGCGAATCGGGCGCCATCTTCTCAGACGGGCTTTTCTTTCTCTTCTTCGACGCCGAGCCCGGCGTCATTGAGGCTGGGTCATGGCGTTTTTAAAGCCATGAAGTATTTCGTCAAATTACCTGTATTCAGAGACAGACTACTGTTCCATCAAAGTTTTACTAGCTTTCCGAAGAAAAAAGAGTTGACACTACGAGGATGGACCAGACAATAATAATCGGATCATCATGACCCGCCCCAGCGTGCGTGTAACATTTTACCACCACAACGACGCCCGCGTTAAGATTATATCATATCATGCTTGAAGATGGTCTTTATTTCATTATTATTTATTTCTTTCACACGAGAGATCGCAGATCGCGCACTCTCAAGAACGTCCGCGGTGGTGTACGAGGATACATTTCGCCGCAGGCGCAAAAATGCGCTCCCGAAGAAACGCCCAGTCGATATTAACATCGACTGATAACGATAGTAATGTCAATCATGATAGAAAAGAAAAAATAAATTCCTTTCATCGTAATAACGGTTGATCGAGAGGTGCTGCACTGACCGACATTCCGAAAGTCCGGCGATTTCTTTGTATTATTTCCGTTCGCTCGATGCTCTCCTCTCACCGGACGCGGTCCGTCGGAGAAGATAACGCTCCTCGTCGCGGCTTGCGCGACGAACCGGCTCGTGGCGCGGTGGTTTCGGTAATCTCCACGCTCACATAATATCTCGGGACGCGATATTCTCGCCGCGAGGTGGTACGCTCCGACGGACGAACGGACGGGTGGAACAAGCGCGCCGTGAACATCGCGGCGAAAGTGTTAAAACCGTGACCCATTTTTTCGGGTCGGTCAGGACTTGAAAAGGTGCATAATCTCTCGTTGCGCAATTACGCGGCAAGTCGAGCTCGCCTCGGGCCTTGAAGTGTACTTGAGCGGATATTCACTAACCGTTGAGATTGATCCTCCTCTTTTATCATCTCCGCGAGTCTTCACTTTCTTCCTCTCGCGCTGAGACGTCCTTTCGTCGACGCGGAACGACCTGAACGCGCCGTACCGACTACATTCGCGAGAGAGGAGAGCTGCCGGCCGCGAAATAATTAAAACCGCTATTCGCGCTCTTGCATTTTCGCGCACAAAAGCCGTTCATTTTCGACGCACGTTGCCGCGCCACGAGCGTAAAGCCGAGAAGAGGCCGTAGAGGCGCGAGCAACCGAACGAGCTCGCCAGCTCGCTAGCTCGACAGCCACTTAACCGCGTACGTTTTCCGCGCGGGCTTAATTGCGACGGGACACGGCATCACGTGCGTTATGCCGAAGTAGATGAAACGGCGGATTACCTCCGCCTCCTTCCTCTCGACGTCGCGCCGATACACGCGACGATAGAGAGAGAGAGAGAGAGAGAGAGAGAGAGAGGATGCGCCTCGAGGATCGACGTTCGTTAGCGGGATTACCCCGCCCTCCTCGCCCAGGAAGCCGTGGCGCCCTTTGCTCGCGATGATTAATCCGCCGGTGTGCGAGCACACTGTTGTTGCATATGCATTATCGGTGCCGCAGAATCAACATTCTACGTATCGCTGGAATGTTGATCGACTTTACGCGTAACGATGCTCAGCCGCCGAACACGAAAGAGAGCCACCACCGCGCCCTGCGCGCGAAGATCGATCCACGATCTGCATGGAATAGGGGAAGGGGGGGGGCATATCTACGCTTTAGATAAGGCTGTTTTCGCGTGTCCGCGCTCATAGTCGCGCAATAACGCTCCCTCGCGGTATTCCGCGTCGTAACATTTCGCGCGGCGCGGGGCAGTGGAGGGTTTCTTCGACAGGGTGGGTATCGCGCACCGTCGATCGCATCGTCGACTGCACGACACGCGACATAACGTGACCATCGTCAGGTTCAATGACGACGACCGCAACGATTGGTCGAGGCCGGGCGTCGCCGTCGCCGTCGCCGTCGTCCCGGCATTATCTGCCTTACGTTTGATGGAGTGAACAAAACGCTCGCGGAGTGAGCCGTTCCCGACGTGGCCATCCGGGAATAAATAGGCGCACTGATAGGCCACAGTCGCGGCATCCTTCTCCGATCCTCGGAATCAGTTTAATTAAACTATGGACTATATCAACAACAGCGTCGAGCGTTTGCGGGCTTAACCCGTTCGTTATCCTCCGGCTGAAGTCTCTCGTGCAGTATTGAATATAAATTAATCGACCGCACTGCGAGAACGAAAGACAGAGAGAGAAAGAGAGAGAGAGAGAGAGAGAGAGAGAGAGAGAGAGATAACGGCAATGAAAAGAGATATCGACAAAACGATTAGCGAAACGTTTGCCTCGGTAAAACACTCGGTAAGATTGGACCGCGCATTCTCGCCAATTATTTTCTCGATACCGTTTGAGAGTCTTGTATATCGAATCCTGCGCGAACAAGATTGCAAGATTTATCGACTTGAATTCTGCCCATAATGACAACGATGATGATGATGATGATGATGATCCAAGCACGAAACCAGGCCGTAATTTCTTTGTGCAATTTATAAAGTCGAAATGTACAATGACGAAAGCATAAACTGCAGAATCTCATGAAAATTAAATCGTGATTTAATCGTATATAGAAGACGAGACAATTGTATTCCCTACGGTGCGATTCGTTTCGTCGCAAATGATAATGATGATGGTACGGTATGTCACATATTTTTGCTTCTCTCATCAGGGGACACCGTACTGCACCTGACTCTACTTCCTACCGGCACGTGTTTCTATTGCTGTCCCATCCAGTTGAATCGAGACGTCCAATTTCAATTGTACACCAGGTACAGTATTATTCATGCACCTCGGAGACTCCGTCGCGCAGTAACAACATCTCAAGTAGCCTCGGCTGCGAGTCAGTTCGTCCACTCTGATATTGCTCACGAACCGTGCGGTCTTAATTGAAAATTTCGTCAATGTCAATTGTTCAAAGAGTTAAGCGAAGTATGCGGTCAACCAGGCATCACCATTGATCACTGATCGATGTCGCGAAACTAGTTTTCGGGCTTTCCTCGTAAATCAAGCGGTCGAGAGAACACCGCTTGATTGTATTAAATTCCGCAAATTTTGCTCGCATAGCGATATTTTTCATGCATCGCGAATATTAACGAAATCCCCCACGACAGGAGGAATCCAACGTATCCGACTTTACTGGATCCAAACGATGTCACGACATTGCGGAGCAGCAACTTCAACGTTAAACACCCGACCGTCGTGTATGTCCACGGATACAGCGACAGCGCAGACGGAACGGGTCCGACTACTGTGCGAAACGGTACGTTATTATAAATATTAGAGATGTGCGAACTGTTCGAATTCGAATAATTCGAAAATTTCGAATCGAAGATTCAATTACGAATAAAATATATTAACGTGCATTATATTTGCATGCATCAGGTACAAAACGAGCCATCTGGGCCTGTATATTTGAGCCCTTAACTTGTAATTAACTCGACTTATAATTAATAACTTAATTATAAATTACTTTAAATATTTAAATATATATTTTACTGTAAGATGATATTACAATATCAATATCCCCTTTCATATTAAAATCTTCCATCATTATGGATGCGTGTTTAGTAGTCATGTTAAATTTTTTAATGATTCGATTCGATTCGAATTCGAATGAAATTTCGTAGATTCGATTCGATTCGATTCGATTCGACATAAAAATTCTTGATTCGCACATCTCTAATAAATATATATACATATATATATATATAATATATTATGACATACGCAAAACGTCACAACGGATTTCACGCTTCACCGGCCAGTGGCCAGCTATTCGATAGCTATCAATCATCTCGATGCTGGGCCATTATCGACGAATAATTAAATCGCCCACTCACGTGACGTGCTTTGTAATTTTTAGAGCAATCCTTATACGGTAACGTAAACGCGATCAATTTGAGTGAAGTCGAGACCACAAGTCGAGATCACAAAGCAGCAACGATTGTCTGCGACGAAACCAGACCGTAATAAGTCTTTATGTAATGTATAACAAGAGCATTAAATGGAAAGGGAGAAAAAAAAAGAACCGCGTGAAATTAAATCACGATTTATTTAATCAAATAACCAAGAAGAAAATTGTATTCTCTACTCAATGCAATTCGTGTCACTTGTTTCGTATCATCCGCTTGAATCAAAACTGATATCGCGCGCGTCTGCCATCGTACATTTATTTTCAACTCAATATACTGCAAATTTAATCTGGTATACAAATAAATTACTACTCCCTCGAGGGAATCGTGACAATCTCAGCTTTCGAATGCAATTTGTTTGATATAGCTGCGACTTCTCTACGCGAAAATAATTCAACGAGCGGCGAATCAACAAAGCGGGATTGAGTCCCAAGACAATGGGTGCGCGTTCACGGCAGTAAACAGTTGTGCAACTTTGAGTGATTTCGTCCTGAACGCTACTGAGCGATACGCTCACTCGCAGCATGTTGAGTGAGCGGTCGCCACAGTTCCCATCATAAATATATTCGTCGCTACCTTTGCTGATCAGTCTCCGATCCAACATGGCGTAGCCCATGAATGAAGAAAATAACCAAGAAAATAGCCATATAAATCCAAATATATATAGCGGGGAATATGTCAAGGATGATGTGAAATACATTGTAACGGACCCATTTGAATTATATTTATAAAAATACTTAATAATTACAAGACACATAAGCGTGTAGACGGGCCGTAATATTCAGATATCGTTTATCTGGCACTTTTTCCGCGCAACAAAATCGCGCAGAACTCTGATCTGCGTTTAGTGTACATCTCTACTGCACGCTAATCGCTCACTCATCTGATGCTCAACTGTTGTGCAACTGTTGAGCCTCGTGAACGCACCCATTGTTACGTCGCTCTCTTGAGCAAAGCCGTCGGCGGCTAGAGGAGGGAGAAGCATTGAGCGCGCAAGCAATGAACGGTAATACGGGCGCAAAATCTTTGCAAACCTCGTGCATTTCGACAGTTGTGTCTCGGCGAAAAATCAACGTATACGAACGTGAAATAAACGCCACTCTCCCTGGCGTGGCACGAATTCGTATTCATTGCGTCTGCTCATGTCACGACATGTATAATCGTGCGTAATTGACACATGACACGTGACGTAGGCGATACGCCGCCATACGGAAATCTTACGATATTAAATAAGAAAGTCAGGAGTATCGGATCTTATCTTTATCGTACAAAATATGAAGCTTTTGTGCATATCTTGTTCGAACTGTCCCACGCAGATTTCCACGTAATCTCTTAATTTCTTTCCCGTCCCGTAAAGTTTCTCCTCTCTTGTAATAGCGCGCGGGTAATTTTGATACTTGTATCAATATTATGCCAATTAATGTCGAATGTTACGTGGAAAATTCACACTTTCAATCTGTATATAGTTGAGAATATTTGGATCCCTATTTTCGCTCAATTATGATGTGATATTGGGTTATATACACGTACACACATACACAATCACACACACACACACACACACACTGACTACAAGTGCAGTGCAGCAGAGAGCACTGCGTAGATAGAAAACATCTGTTACTTAACAACCAGCCGAGGAAGAGTCGACCGTAAAATCTCACATAGGACATGGCACAATCTTCGGAGCAGTCAACAGCGAGAAAAGCGACCTCGTTCATCCGTAAGAAGTAAAGCGTTTTACCAAACTCATTAGCATACTTCGACATGCATGAAAAAAGTTAGATCTCCCCTTCGGCGTGTTCGAAGCTGAAGTTCGATGGTCCCCGGAAAGTGTCTCGGATGGGAATGAATTTCAGCTCACTTTGCTGAACTCTGGGCGTGATAATAAATGTGTGTTGGGAAACTTTTTAACTTTCCTTTTTTTTCGGTAGACGCACGATACTACTACATGACGTAACGTCCTGAATAGCAATATAGCCTCTCGGAAGTCAGCACGACGCTTCGTTTCTTCTTCCGAAGGAAAGATTCGCGCGGCGTGCATACCGAGCTCGGTGTGAACGAGTGATAGGCTGAATCCATTAGTAACTACAAGATTTACAAGTACCCCCCCTCGAAGTCCCAAGAAGTTCCGTCGAGATGACGAATAGCGAGCGCTACCATAACTTGTCACAATAAATCGCAAACTTTCCCAAACTCTTCGCCACGTGAGTTGATTCGATTCAACTTTCCCCTCGCCCGAGGGAGCCACTTCTGTTTATATATTCTCTTTAAAAAAAACTCCGTTTCTTACTTAATGTTCGAAAACCCCACATATTCGCGGCTTGCGGGTCATCAAACGAAACGAGCGTCCCATGAATATAATCCACTGACTTCATCTCTGCATTTTCCTTTCACCGCAAGAAACACATCGGTCTACGCTTGATCGGTTAATTAAAAAAAAAAAAAAAAAAAAAAAAAAAATGGATTATGCCTGTCGTCTTTATTTCAGCCTATCTTCGTCGTGGGTCCTACAACGTGATACTGGTGAACTGGCCCAGACTGGCGGTTTTACCGTGGTACGTTACGGCGGTAAGAAATGCCAAAGTCGTCGGACCTTACTTAGCCCACATGATGAGCTGGCTCGACGCGCAGAAAGCTGTTCCTTTATCCAAAATTCATGTGATCGGCTTCAGCTTGGGTGCGGAAGTTGCCGGCTTCATGGGAAAGGCTCTGGCGCCTCGGAAGGTAAGATCGTAAGATCCGCTAATACATCTCGTCCACCACGTCTGTACATACTCCGCTATCTATTTCGCACACTGCACGCTGGCTCGACCAAAGGAAAGGATCCGCATTATCGGAGCCGCATTTTAACAGCAATGGTTCTAATCGCGAATATTGAGAATCGTTGATAAGCGCTCTTTTAGATAAGCAGGATCACCGGACTGGACCCGGCTTATCCGCTGTACATGGATACCGGGGAGGACGGTCACCTAACATGGGCCGACGCGACCTTTGTCGACGTTATTCACACCGACGGCGGCCATTTCGGATTTCCCAATTCGCTCGGCCACGTCGACTTTTACCCAAACGGCGGCAGCAGGCGACAGCCCGGCTGCGATTTGAGGAGCATCGTTCGCATGGGCTTCAGAAGACTCATAAATCAATACAGTGAGTGGCCCGTTGTGACGCGCGCGGAAATTGTCCCCCCTCTCCCCCTGTCCTTTTCATCACTCTTGCTTACCAAGAACATTTTTGGTATATTACTTTTGAAAAACATCCTTCATTTTTCTTTATCCTCCCTTTAGTCACTTGCGGCCACAATCGAGCCTGGCGTTACTACACGGAGTCATTGGAAAATCCTTACGGATTTCCGGCGAGTCGCTGCCCGAAATGGCGAACTGATATTCTGGCGAACTGCGTGTGGAAGCCTGAGGTTTACATGGGTTTCATGGCTAGCCCCACGTATCGAGGAAAGTACTACCTGCGCACAAACGCACGGCCACCGTTCGCCACGAACGTAACAGGCCACAAATTCGCGAAATGAGAATCGACACACGGCAATTTCGATTTGGATGAACCAGATTGAGAAGCGAGAGAAGAATGCCCTCCGCGCGACAATCACTTCCGCACGAAGATCCCAGTCTCGGGCGAAGAAGTTCGACCGAGGAGCGAATGTCGAAGCGTTCTTACGGTGTATCGCGCGGTAAATGCGCTCGCGCAAAACGAAAATGGTTTGCATCTTTGTTGCTTTCAGTATTCTCTGCGAACCAGTCCGTGGCTCAATTAGTTCTCCCGCTTTCTCCGGAGCACCGTTAAAGTGACAACGTCCGTGTATTTTTCTCTTAATACTAGTAGATGAACAACGCACGCACGACGGAACGTACGTCGTGTGCTCGAGAATTGCCATGAGAGCGATCGGTTCCGAGAGAAAATCCGTGGTCATAATTCCGATTTAATTCTGCGCGTTCTTAGGTCTCAGAGGAGCTTTTCTTTCATCGATTCTTCAAGTTAGACGGTACTCTCCCAGTGTTAGCGCGCGGAACCAAGACTGCGACTCGGATTTGATATTTAGAGATTCTATATGGATCCGCGTCAAGTTTCGCGATACCTAATGTGGAGTGAAATTTTGACTCGCGAAGCAACTCGTGCCGCGTTTAATGTCGGGTATAAGCTACGATTTTGTGCTAGATTGTAGCGGTGCATTGTTCATGACACTTGTCACTCCGACTTTCCTTTGAATTGTTAACGATAGATGAATGATGATCGCACATAGCACGATCGCATTCGTGCGTTCATGACAAGAATATATAATACATGGCCGAGATGTATTTTGTTCCGCGATGATGCAACGCGATATTTCGATGTTGTTGCACAAAAACTGATATGTTTGATGAGGAACTTGGATTTACAAGAATATCGACGATGAGAATTTAACGATAGTCGACTCGACGATTGTCGAGTGTTGTGTGCCCTTGCGTATCTTTTACAAACACGAGTACGCAATGCCCTTAAGTTAAAAATAAATCTATTAATTGACTTTACTAGGACCTTTTTTACGATGGTCGCAAACGACATGAGCGACAGAGAGCAAAAGCCAATAAAAAATGTAAATTACAATGACAGGGGATTAAGAAGGCTAATAATCAGAGAGACAGCCGGCAGTTTTCGTGCTGTTTTTCCATACGCTCCTTTGAGATATGTAAATCTCAAGGCCAATATGTTCTATCTATTTCTCATTTTGCGCAATCGATGAAGCAGCCTCGAGAGCGATGCGTCTTCCGAAGCACGAAAGTACGTGCTTATGTTAAAAATTACGAGTGGCAGATTGAGGGAACGCAGAGGAAGGGAGAACTATGGCGTGCGCCGCTGAGCCGGAAATATTTATAAGGGGAGGAGGGGCCGCCGATTCCTATTCTACTTTTGTATTGGTTTTATTCCGTCATCGTCGTCGCTCAACGATTCGCGATAAACCTCCGTTACGCGGTTTTTAGTGTCGTGAAAAGTACAAAATTGCCTTGAAAGGTATTAAATTAGCGCACCGCCAGTTTATCCCCGGCATAACATTTAGAAATATCCTTCGTTTCTCGCAGGCTTTGTCTCCAGCGGGAAATTCAGCTTGGCGAAACTCGCGCAGCTCCGTGAAACTTGACGGTCGAACTTGAGTCCTTAGGCGGCCAAATTGCACGTTTCCGATGAAGAAATTTCGTCTGCTGTTTTTAACGCTCATTAGACCGCCGGCAACTTTCGCCACCCTCCTCTCTAGCGTAACTTTCACCAACCATCTCGCGAAAGACTTCTCGGACTAATGGAGAAGCAGGGAGGGACAGAGAGAGAGAGAGAGAGAGAGAGAGAGAGAGAGAGAGAGAGAGGGAGAGAGAGGGAGAGAGAGAGAGAGAGAGAAGACACTTTATAATCGAGCTCGGAATTAAATTCAGTCGAAATGACACCACCCACGATTGTAGCTTCATTTTCGTGACAATACACCAAGGTTTTGTCGTTAAAAAAGAAGAAAAGTTCTCCCCATGACCTCACTGTAAACAACGCAAAGTAGGATGACAAGGAATATATTCGAAGAAACAACAACACCAGTTAGACAAACTGTAGACAGAACAATATAACATATTCAGCGGTCGGAATGCAATTTCAGGATCGATAAGATGATTTATGTAAGGCATGTAGCATTCCCTGACTCATCTTGAAGATAGCACCGTGACCTTTCACGATCACGTTCCGCTAAACTGTGTTCGATTTCGGAATACATTTGGTAGGACATGCGGCTGAGGGCGGACGAAGAGAGCTGAGCCCACGGGAGAAGCGCAAGGAGCGCCGAATCGGGCATTATCTTCCATCTGAACGGATCTCAAATATCTCTGTCTCTCGAATGAGGTGTCGAATAGGAAACGGACAGGCTCGAAATTCGCGGAATACATCCCGGAATCACGAACGACATACGATATTTGTGGGATCTGGTCGGCGGTCAATCAACCCGGCATGTTCACTGAAAAATTCAGTACGAACAGGTCGATAAGAATCCAATGGCCAGGGTTATAGATGACCCTAGTCTTGAAAGACTACGTTCCGTGAAAGGCCTAAGGCTTTCGTAGCCTACGCTTCAGCACGTTCGACCGTGTTCGGCGCCGGTTCCGCGTCTCGAAGAGCTCCCTCGAGTATCGTTACTGGCTATAGCTTCTCTCGAGTTAGACATATACAACGTGTCCCAGGTTTCAAGGCGCTTCCTTTCATCTACTATCATCATCCAGAGTTCTCCACTCGACGATTGACTCTCTTTCTCTCTCTCTCTCTCTCTCTCTCTCTCTCTTTCTTTAAGATTTGATTCGACGCCGAGCACTTTCCGCTGCTCGAAATCCGCCATGCGAAATCCGTTAGTTTCGATTTCCGCGTGTTTCTTTTCATGCCCGTCGGCCGATAAATCTCTCCTCCTTTGAGGTCTCCGACATTTTTCCACGCACCTTTCCTTCTCTAAGATTCGTAGGCTTCTCGGGAATGTTTAGGCCCGGTACTCTCTAGGCACTGTATTCGTGCCGGCCGATCGATAAAGCCCCTTCCTTGAGATCTGCAGACGTGTGTTTAGTATTTTCTGAAAATTTACGTGGGTTCTCTCTCTCTCTCTCTCTCTCTCTCTCTCTTTCTTTTTTATTTCTCTCCTCCGTCTTTCCGTATTATCTCCTACAGGAGACGAGAATAGTTTTTCGCATTGTAATCGTGTCATGTACGAATCGATGAAACGGACTAACGTCGGGGTGGTGGTTTCCGCTGCTAAAATCACTGCCGCCTATTGACTATTCGATCCTTGCATCGCCGAGTGCATTGTCCCTTGCGGAAATGAGAGAGAGAGAGAGAGAGAGAGAGAGAGAGAGAGAGAGAGAGAGAGAAACGAAACACGCGAAACGCACCACCACCATTACCATTACCATTACCACCACCACTACCACCACCACCACCACCATCACCACCACCACCACCACCACTACCACTAACCACTACTACTATCACCACCTCCACCATCAGCGTCGCCACCACTACCGTCGCCATCACCACCACTTCCACCCCGGCGTCGTGGATATCGATCCTTCTTTGTTCTCGTTGTTGCGGCTACGAACATATCAGACTCGAACCATTCGCATGTTGTAGCCCATGGTGTCACGTACAAGTCCGCGAGGACTTCCCAGGAAAAGACTCTAGTACGAGGGGGTGATTTCTCACTGCCACCGCCGGCATTATACTTTCACCCTATTCCCCAAAGTATCTATCTCGCGCGAACTTTAGCATACAGGCCGAATCCAAGTAATCGTTATTTGTCTCGACTCGTCTTCTGATGTAAGCGGAAGAGACAACGCTAGTTTCGAAACTTCTGAAAGGGAGACAGATGCCTCTCGCATGAATGCGTGCGTACGGAAGCGAGATGGGGGTGACAACGAACGAACGAACGAACGAACGAACGAACGAACGAACGAACGAACGAACGAACGGAATCCTCTTCCTCCACATCCCGGCTGGCAAAAAGCCCGGCTAACCGCATCGATCTTTGGTCGGCTGTAAAAAAAATCTCTCCTTGGAACACAGCCGCACCGAGGACGTCACGCAATTAGCGTCGCGCGAATGCTCGAGTTCGCGCCAGTTGAGAGAGACGCCCGAGGCGTTAGTGCCTCGTTAACATCTTTTCGCGAGCGCGAAAAAACCGACCACGTCCCTTCTCGCCGTGTCGTCCTCCTGGCTGCTACGTGTGCGTATCGCTGTTGTCCTCGTCTCTCCACCCTCCTCTCTCGCTACTTCTGTGTCACTTCGCATTATAAAGGTGACGTCGAAGTCAGCAGCTTCTACTACACCAGACAGCAGTCGACCAAAAGTTCGGTGGGTCGCGCAAGCTCTTCTCTCTCGCTACCGCGCTCCGCCCTCTCCCATTTAATTCATTTCACTCTGTTCTAATTCCAAGCTGTCTTATAACGGAGGCTGAGGAACCAAATTGAATCCCCAGCCTTTCTCGGCCAGCTAGAAACGGCGTCGCAGATAAATGCGAAGCCGCGATCACGCGCGGCTTCTACATTCGACGGGGAGCGCTATTTCCAACTCCGCCGAAATATTCCGAGGGAATCTTGATTGCCGGGATAGAATATCGAGTTAACGGGGAAAATGGAATTAGACAGCCTCTCTCTCTCTCTCTCTCTCTCTTGTCTCTTGCGTTTCGCAAGAGAAAAAAAGAAAGCGGGATAGGAGAGGATTGTTATCTGGTAAACTCCACGAGACCGGAATAACCGATACGCGAAGTGGCTGATGCGTTGCTTCGTAGATTGTGCGATTTTTACAAAGGGAACTTCTCTTTTTACAACGACCGGTTAATGGCCGCGATGAGTTATTCCGGATAAGCCCTCCCAACGTGCTCTTAAACGAAGCGGACAAAATTAAACGCAAACCCGGCCAATACCTCGCTCTCTCTCTCTCCCGCAGTCGTCCTAAACTTTTGAAGGATCGTTACCGCTCTAGTAACCCGCTCGCTTAAACTCTCGCGATTTACCGTAAGGTTCCACGAATCGTTGAAATATCAATAGCCGTTCTCGACATACTCTCGATATGCATTAACGCTCCCAATCGCTGCGATTCGTCTGGTTTCACTCGTTAAAATTTCGCGACCATGCGATAACACGAAGCGACGCGATGCTCAAAGATATAAGCGTGGCGCCAGGAAACATTAACGGAATGAATCGTTACGGGGTATCGCGAGGGTATCGCAATGGCGATGGGAAATTATACGTGAGAGTTTCTAGAAATTGAATAATGCTCACGCAATCCGGTGAAACCGGAAGACTGCATCGATCCACGCTACGGCGTCCATGGTGGCTCGTATGTTTCTTAATGGTATTATCAGCCCCTGACACACCGAGCGCCTCGGGAGGTCGTTGACCAAGCACACACGAGTCCATTGTGAAACTTCCCGCCGTGAACTTCTGATTCGAAGCTGATAACGGTGTACTTTGAAAAATTACAAACGGTGTAATTCGCACCTGGACGAGTTTGCCTCACGAAAACGAAGAGACGCGCGAGCTGAAACTAGTTGTCCAAATGTAACAAGTCTCCCTCTTCGTGCCTAGGAAATAAACATTGTCCGACAAATATGAGATTGCAGTGAGTCGCGAGTTGAGAAATTTCGCCGAAAATTACGCCGGAATAACGGTACGATTTTGATCGTCAGCTGGCCGTAACCGTGGATCGAAAAGTTTGTTACATCGTCGAGCGAGCGAGCGAGCGACCCGACCGGCGGCGCCGACAGACCCCCCGCTGGAGGGTGGTGGCGGTAATAGTGGCGGTGGTGGTGGTGGTGGTGGTGGTGGTGAACAACGAGTCCCTGGAATCGCGTGGACGTGCACTTACGTGACTCGCAGAGGGTAGCAGGCAGGGGCGTAAAACTTTAGTCCGCCGCCGTACGACTGCTACCGCGAAGTACAGCGGTAAACAACCCCCGCCGGCTTTTTATTTTCTGCAAACCCAATTACGTTGCATCGAGGGAGAGAATTAGTTGTGTTTTTATGACGCCGCGCCGTGGCGTAGACGTATGTATCCACTTCTGAATTAGCGCGACGGGAAAAACGACGCGACGAAACGGGCGCGATGTGGAATTAACGGCGCGCATGATGCGTAAAAACCGCTGAAATTTCGCGCGAACATAAGAGAGAAAGAAACGAGAGTTGCGGCGCACTTGGAGTCACCGGCGGCGCTTTGCCCCCGAGCGGAAACATCCGATTCCCCGCGATCCTCGTACTGCGTAAAAGAATTGCCGAAGCCTTTCGCGAGCGTCATTGAATGGTAGCCCGAAAAAAATGTCACGCCGCTTCAGCCGCGGCGCGGCGTTTGTTTCATCGAACGCGGATACAGGTGGGATGATGGCGACGAAACCGTCGCGTCGCCAACAGCGTTGAAATAAACGTCGAAAGTAAAGAGCGCGATATCTGACGCCGATAATCTTGAGTGGTCTTCACGGGGTACATACACATCGACGTGTACACGTATTGTACCTTGCCACACGCCTGTATCCTTTGCAGTGTCGCGCGACGACGATCGAATACAATAAGGACAAGGAAGGTCCAAGCCTGGTCGTGCACGATCGGGATCTTAACGCCGAGTTGGCGTGAGCCTTATCTTGGGTGAGCGCAAACCGCTCTACTTGCTTCCTGCCCAGAGAGAGTTCCTTCGGTTCCCCTTCGCGGAGAGTCGCTTGATTTTGGCGCGAGGTGCCGATCCGCTCACGGGCGCTTCTGAACGACGTCGAGGTTGAGCTCGAAGGAATCTCTCTGTTCTTTCATTCCCGATGCGACTTTCCGCTCACTGATAACCAAGTACCGAGTAACGCTTATGCGCGCTTTCACCTCGCGCTCCACCACCAGCCGCGCTTCCAGATAGTGGTAGTCGATAGCGCGTATCTTCCGCGGTAATGAATCAATGGGTCGCACGTGAACGCAATTCGCTCCGCGAAATTCCAGCTTCCACAGCCACCGTGGAGAGCGTGCTCTCCACGGTTACGGAGGTTACACGCGGTATTCCAGATACTCCAGTAACGATCCGCCGCCGACCATGCATGCAGCTTCTTGGCAGGTTTCCTAGCGGGCTGCTGGGGTGGGACACACTTTTGACACGGCAGCTTCATCCTCGCCCGTTCCGGAGCCGCGGCGTTTGCCAAACCCCCGGCACTGACCTCAACAAATCGCGTCCGAACCGGGACGCGCCGCAACCAACGACCTTGAGAAAGGATGACTGGAGCTCCGTGTCACGAGTTCCAAACAGCGCGCGCGTCGCATAGCGGCGCCGAGATTCGACTTGTCCAAGTGGAGCAACGAGCAACAGCGAGTGGCGCGCAATTTTTGCGAGATCTCGTCGCGCGGAAACGTCGCGCTCTCTTTTCGGCTCTTTTCCGGCCGATTCCCTCCCTCGCTAAGCGAGCCATTCGTTATGGTCCACGTCACCTTTCCACGTCAGCCATCAGCACCTGCTGAAGCCAGCCGAAGCGCGACAGCCCGGGACGGACGGAAATCAATACGTGTTCGGAGTTTACAGAGTGGCCCAAGTTTCCATAGGTGAATTCCGCGGCTTCAGCGATCTCCCAATGATGGATAGATACATCGACGAACCCGGCGGGTTGTTCAACGCGAACTCAACCGGTTTGCCGAAATGTCCGCTCGCGGGAACGAGCCGCATTCGCGCGAGTCGGCCCTGCTGTCGGCAATTTGGAGCAACTCGCGCAGCGGAAATCGTAGCGACATTATTTTCTCATTGAAGAAGACGAAGCTCGGTTAAAAAAAAGTAGATCGATCATCGTCTTATCTAAGATCAGGAAGACGCGGCCGATGAAACCTCGAGTATTATGCGGGAAACGTCGTTAAGAACCACGATCTCATTTTCTCTACGAGGCAACGCGAGCAATGAGGATCTAAGATAATAACGAAGATGGAACGTCGCTGAAGAGAGCCGCTTAATAAGGATCGCGACGAACAAAAACAAGTGGCTGTGAGTCTGTAGAAGACGATACACAGTCTTCGAGAGCGAGAGATGATCGCGTTACCACCGGGTAATCGAACCCTTTCACCGCTCCTTCGCGCGCACAATACACACACACACTCTCTCTCTCTCTCTCTCTATCTCTCTATCTTTCTCCTCTGCCTCACGTATTCATATCCACTCAGCGATACCCTCGTCTTTCCTTATTTACCCCCGCGTTACCGTCGTCTGCATTCTCGTGGACGACACGCGCGCGATCTCGTCATCCCTGACGGACTTGGTTCGCACCGCTCGGCGATCCGATAAACGACGTACATCGAGAAGCGTAAACCCTTTGCTTAGAAAGGGTAAATGATTTTTTCCGCGGAGCCGTCGGCTGGTCTCTCACGTCAGGGATCAATATCGGCGGAAGTAATACTTTCATCGCGTCACGTCCCGGAGTTGTCGTCTGCGCTGGGAATACGGTATAACAGGAGCAGGTGTACGTGTGCGAGATAAATCGCTATCGGCGGCCGACGATAACGCATCACATTTATCCGCAGTTTCCATCTATCAGCGTCGACGAGGAGTCGCGCGACTCCTTCGCGGCAGTAGACGTGATACAAAACCCATATACTTTCGCCTCTTCATTCGGCATCAACAAAAGAGAAAAAATAAAGCCAAACTGCCGCGCGCGCGCGCGCGCGCACATCGCTTGATCAAATTATTGTCCGACTCGCTCGGCTAAAGATAGGCTCTCGGACCAATGACGTGTAACAACAGGTGGGATGTTCCAATCGTGAGATTCATCCGACAGGCGCGCGCGAGCGCGCGCGAGCGAGCGAGCGAGCGAGCGAGCGGGTTCGTTGACCCGGCGCGGTAAGGAAGCTCGGCAGGTCGGGCTAAAAATTCACTTACGATTTTGTGATGGAGATGCTGAAGCTCCCTCTCGGTGACTCTTCTGCGCGAGAGCTCACGTTGCTCCCGCCTGTACTGGCTGTACTTGTAGAAGAGGTACATCCCGGGCAGAGCCAACACCACCAAGGGCTTCATCAAGCCGGTCCGTCCGCTGCCACCGCGAACACGTGGCTCGGGTGGCTCGTCCAGGTCCTCCAATTGGCCGGCCCCTTCGGCAACGGCCGGCACGGTCGCACCAGCTGCTGGCATCTTTCTGCAAGACACCCAAGAACCTCTGGTCTCTCCCTCTTTTTCTCTCTCTTTCTCTCTCTCTCTCTCTCTCTCTCTCTCTCTCTCTCTCTCTCTCTGTTCCTTATTGTTACACGTGAAGAAAATTGCACAGTACTTTCGCTAGAGAATCATCGTCGCGCGTAAACGATTCTTGAAACGCTTCTCTCCCTCTCCTTTCCTCTTCTTCCGCGAGACAGAACCATTTCCCCGCAGCTGGGAAATTAATTCGCGTCGCGTCGCGTCGCGTCGCGTCGCGTCGCGCGAATGCCAGAGATCGGACAACAGCGAGGAATCCAATGGCCAAAGCGACGCCGACCGCGCACTATGCTAAACAATATACTCGTCCCGGTGCATTGTAGCTCATTGAGGAAATCGAACCGTCACGTCGGCTATTCCGCTCGTTCGGAGAACATCCGGCGGAACGGAGGAAGCATCTGGCTCGATCACTTCGCCGTTAATTCGTTTCTACGATTTTTCTCGCTGAATATATATATATATATATATATATATATATATATATATCATACATACACGCGCCATTTCTCATTCATACTCTTTCCATTCGGGTGCTCAGTGCGCAGCGGCGTCAATCCATTGCGCACGGAGATTTTTGTTTTCTGCCGACGAACGAACGGCGAATTTTAGGTCGACAAAGGCACCGGCGGCTATCGGTTTATTGGTTTTTCATCAAATCGTTTTTTCGCCGACGTTTCCGCCGAGAGTCGCGAGACGGCAGCGGTCGGGGGTATTTCAGTGCGTCGCGTATTCCAGACTCGTATTTTCCTCCCCTTCCTACATCTCGTTTCTCGTTTTTAGATATTTATAACCCCCGTCTCCTCCTCCCCCTTTCCTATCTCTCTCTCTCTCTCTCTCTCCCTCTTCCACCCTTTGCCACTTTTCTCCCCCTAATGCCGCGCTACGGCCATCCGCACGACAAAATGGTCTCTCCCCCGTATTCATCCTCGAACCTCGCGACTTTAATCTCGCGTCCGTCAAAACGATGATTATTCCCGCGATTTTTTCCGCGTGAGTTTTTGCACTGCCGCGGTGATATAGGAGGTCCTCTGCTGAGAATAAAGAATTAGACGCTCAGGTAGATATATAGACTCTATCCCGACTCTACGTGCGAATGTTCCCAACCCCCGGTCGACCCGGGCAGACAAAACGCTCCCCGTTGAATCCGATATGAGAAACGCCTCACCGATGGGGTAATTATGGTCGACTCTTTATTTAAGCTCGTTTACGGGCGAGCTCCGTCGATTATGATAAATCGAGTCGTCGGCGCGATTAAAACGGCCGTAACTCGTCGATCATCCGTAATTATTCTGCCGGGAACAAGCACGGTCATCGCGAAACTCGATCGTCGAGTTTCCCTCTTCCTTCTTCCCGTCCTCCCTCCCCCCCTCTCTCTCTCTCTCTCTCCAACTCTCTTTCTTTATCTCGCGCGATGCAGGCAAGATCGATAATTCGCTCGATATCACGAAAACATCCAATTAACGGTCCACCCTGTCAAGCAGCGGGACAAGGCGGCTGGCAGATGCAACTGCAGCGCGCACCGTGAACGCGCGCGGCCATTGGACTTCAATGAAATTTCGTAATCTACTTGTCGGTCATTCACCGTCTATATCTGATTCAGGCGTCTACTCGGCGTTCTATTCTTAAACCGGCTGCTCTAGAAATATACACACACACACACCTCGCTCTATATCGGCGACTCCGTCCGAGTCAGGTCGTGCACCCGCTGTCTCGCTTCGCTCTGTAGGAGGATGCAGCCAGCCAGCCAGCCAGCGGTGGTGCACACGCGTGACGTGTCGGGCTCGCGTTCGCTTGTGTCGGTGACTTCCTGACATACAGTCAGGTCTCAGTGTCTCCGCGTATCGCGATAAGCGCGACGATAAGGGCGGCGAGCCGGTCTCCGCTCCGGAGGCGTACTCTGCGAGTACGCGGTCCTCCGAGGCGAGTACCGCCTCGAAACGCAGCCCGGTACGCGTTAAAGCGTACTTTGAAATGATGTGGGAAACTCAACGACGTGCAAGAGTCACGCAAAGGCACGCGCAGGGAAACGTAAGAAATTCGGTATGCGCGTGCGTGACACCAGCCCCGTCCTCTTTATACGTGTACGCGTTGCTTGTTTCTTTTTTTTTTTTCTTTTTTATCAACTAAAATTCAAATCGTATTCACGACTCGTGCGAAGGTGAGAGAGACATGTCGGAACCCGGAAACGACGGAATCCCAGGCGACCGCCCGGTGTAGAACCCGGTGATTGCGTCCGTTTGAGAGCGACGCTCTCTCGCGTTTCACGACGTCGCGAGGAATTAAAATTATCAATTATCCCGCCGCCGTCGCCACGAAGACGGAGGATTTTCTAGCGTGGAATAATAATATCGCGCGCGTGCCGTATTGGAAATTTTTTGCCGGGCGGTGCCTTTCGCGCAGTGTGTGTGTGTGTGTGTGTGTGTGCGCGCTATTCGTTAAAATTGCGTTCGCCTGTTGAAAGTGATTATCGTGTTGCAGTTATTTCTGGAGAAAGGCGCGTGCAACAATCGATCGATACGTCACACACCGTGTACACGTAACGCACACACGGGGATGAACGAATTTATTATTTTTTTCTTTTTTCCTCCCTAGCGCGTCGACAATTTGGACGACGCGCTAAACACGAAAAAAGCCGATACAACGGGGCTGATAGGAACCGTCGATGGCGATATACGGGATAGGATAGGATACGTATGCGCGCACGTGTTATCGCCATGGGAGGTAATATATTATCGGAAATAAATCGATATATCGACTCGTTGTTTTGCACTTCGCACTCGGCGCCGCGAAAACATACACCACCTGCGGGATTTCACGACGGTGTGTGCGACACGGCGTAATTTCGCGAAGGACAAGGTCAGCCCGCAAGCTTTTTACAGATTTCCTTTCACAGGAGGGTCATGGGGTTGGAAACGTTTTCCCAGCGGGCGCCTTCGATCGAGGCCTCGCGGCGCGTACACACGGCACGGCCGGCAATTAATGCCAGAACTCACTGCGCGATCGTCGCAATTAAAGCCGCTTGAACGCAATCGCTCGCGGAATTAACGTCAACAACGATAACGCGCGACGATAACGCGCGGAAATTCACTCGTCGCGGCTTTTCTGCGTCTCCCATAACAGTCTAATCTGCGGGCTTCTTCCGATTCTCAATTGAGCCGCGACGTGGAACGGCGCGAGAGAGAGAGAGAGAGAGAGAGAGAGAGAGAGAGAGAGAGAGAGGGACGAGTAGCCAACAAGCGCAAGTGTGTACCTTTAGTATCCTAAATTCGTACGGATTATGTGTCAGCCGCACCTCCGTGTAATCGCGGCGATGGACAAGCGCGACAAGAGGCCAGTCGCGAGTAGCGGTCGAAACGTGCAGAAATTATTACGTTGTTAGGATACGCGAATTATCGCGCTGATCTGACATCCACATGTACGTATGCAGTTCGCCTTGACACAGCGTAACGCTGTGGCGGTCGCGCGCGACCGAAGGACACCCAACATTGCGGGATAACATCGTCTAACCGCGATATTCTACGGCCAAGTACACGCTCCGCATCGCTATTTTTATGCCTTTTCCACTGTCAAGTTTCGTTCGATTGACGTGCTGCGCTATTAGGATCGATCTGGCCACTCTTTTTTCGTCGCTTCGCGCGGCTCGACGAGGAAGTATAACGACGCGACGCGCGACGTTAGGCTGCCGCACGACGACGTTTGTCGAAGCGACGAACAGGGGCAGGGGAAGAGAGAGAGAGAGAGAGAGAGAGAGATTGTCTTCGTAAGACGCAGCGCGCGATGGGAAACAAGCGCAAATCGAGTTTCAATTCGAAACTCTGATCCAAGAGAGTATCGATTCGCCGCGAGAGAAACGTGTCGTTTTACACGCGCTGATGTACACACCTTGTACTGCTCCTGAGTGACGAGTACGCGAGAAGATACGTCCCGCGTGACGGAAAGACGACGAGAGCTGCCGCGGTGATGTATGGTAACGTTAAATCTGGCTGACGTAAAATAACGATTGCCGGAGAAGGAGAAAGACCGAGTCGCGAGTACTTAACGCGCGCGGTGCTCGCCGGTGCGAGCCCAGATAAGGGAACATCAATCACGAAGGCGCGGGACCCTCGGGTGGCCGTAATGCAGGCTACGCGATCAGTTTTCTGTCAACTACCGCACCATCACGTGCCATCGCCTCGTTATCGATTCTCACCCCATAATTCGATTCGCTTGGACTTGACCGCGGACCTCTTGACAATTAGCGGTATCTCTCACGTAGTGAGTCACGTATAAAAGTCACGAGCGTGTCATCTCTCATTCACTGGCCACGAGCGTGCGAGAAAGCTCTAGCTCTAGAGCAGCTTCAGCCTCGACTTCGACGCGAAGAAGTCGCTCTGGAAAAGATTTCCACACCTCCGTGTGTTTCATTCATCCTCGTAAAACAGAGTACTCCTCCTCCCGACGAACCTAACGTATTTCGAGCAACGGCGCGACTCGCCGAAAGGGGCGAGGGAGAGGGAGAGAAAGAGAGACCATGTCTCTCGTCACCTGTCATTGTTCCCGCCAAGCATGCGTTGCGTATACTCCCCCCCGCACGTCTCCGCTCCAATCAAGCATCGACCAACACCACCGTCGCTCGCGCGCGTCTACCCTCCGTCGAGCGCGCCGCGATAATACATCACGTCGTTGTGTGGAATCGGCGGAATTATGACTCGAACAGTTACTTCCCCACGTTCCGCGCCGGATCCTTCGCCACGCGCCATCCGCGCGATGACGACGCATCGCAACGGCGTCCCTCGAAGAATGGCAGACGCGACGCGAAAAGCCCTCACATCCGCGACACGTGCAAGCACCCAGGACCCGTACTCGCGTACTATACCGAGAGAGAGAGAGAGAGAGAGAGAGAGAGAGAGAGCGAGAGAGAGAGAGAGAGATCGGCACACGTCACGGCAGGATCACACTTACGTCGTTCTGTCTCACCCCTCGAAGAGCCGCCGCGACAGGCAGCAAGAGCGTCGGGCAGGATGAGAGAAGGAGGAGCGCCGAGAGGGTGACTCCGCGCCGGCGACACGAGCCTCCTCCTCGTGCGCGCTCAGCTCAGCTCACAGCTCAGCCGAGACATCGCCGAGCCGCGCGACTGCCGGACTGGCGGTATACCGGCGGCTGCACTGGCGCGCCTGCAGCCAGAAACAACCCTTGTGAGCGCACTGCTTGGCGCTCCGTGCACCCTCCGTGCTCGCTCGCTCGCCCCGCTTGCGCCCGCTTGCGCCCGCGCCGCGGTTCATGCGCGCCCGGCCGGCGCGTCGGCCGACTTCCGGAGAACCCGCCGACGGGGGTTCTTTCTCTCTTTCTCTCTCGAGCGAGCCGCTCGCGACGGCTGCGTGACGCAATGCGTGGAGGAGCAGCGCCGACCGATCGAAGTAGTTGTGCCGGCGTGGTGGCCGGGCAGCCACTGAAGGGATACGCGATGGGCGATGCTGATCGCTGGCGACGCTGCTGGTGCTGCTGGTGCTGCTGGTGCTGCTGCTGGTTGTAACAGAGGCTGCTGTAGTTGGAGAAGGATCGATAAAAGGAGAGGGAAGAGCAAGGTGGTCGGGACGCCCGGGAAGAAACAAGGGTTGTGGGTATTTGCGAGAAGTCTCCTCTCCTGCGAGATGCGCTCCTGCTGCTCCCTCCGATTCGTTGAAGGAATAGCTTCGCCAATGTCGACGCCAGGCCCTCCCCCTCTCCCTCTCTCTCTCTCTCTCTCTCTCTCTCTCTCTCTTGCCATCTCCCATTCCACCCCCGAGCTAACAATCTCACGTAGGGTCTACGGTATTCGAGTTTAGTGAACTTCCGACAGGGGTTTCCCGATAAATGTTCCGCTTTCTGTTACACCCGGCTATCGGATTAGAGGCGCGGTAATTGATTTCTGTTGCGAGATAACATTCGCGAAAATTAACGCGCGCGTCGGCGCGGATTTATGGAATTCCCATAGCCATAGCGGGAGCGAACAGCGTCCACCGTGGACTCGAGCGGTGGTCGCAACGCTACCGCAATCGACGCAAATGCGTCTCGCTGACGCGAAACTTGAAGTCCTCCTCTCCCAAATTACCGCGAATCACAATCGCCTCGTGCGCGCGCGTCCAAAAAGTCCGAAGATCAATCTCGGTTGATCGACCGTTCCGTTATGCGTAACCATCGCGTATCTCAGGCCAGCGTTCTGAATCACAGCCGAGAGATTTCGAGCGAAACCATTTTTCGTGACGTTTGACCCGTTTCCATCGAACGGCCGTGACGTCATCGCGGGGAATGTCAGATCAATGGTCCCCGGGGAGTTGGCGACGGACGCCAACTCCTGCCCTCGCGTCCCTCTCGACTTAGGGTTGTTCTACGCGCGCGCTAGGGCGCGCAATTATGCACTGTCAGCCAGCCCACGCCAGTTTTCGGTCGAATGGAAGTTCGGAAAGGCCGATAACGACGTCGCGAACGTTGCGCGGCCGAGCTAGGTAAGGTCTACGCTAACACAGATTGAAGAAGACGCGACTCGCCGCGCGCGCGCGCGCGCGAGAGAGAGAGAGAAAGGCCTTCAAATTTACGTCAAGTTTATGCACTTTCCCGATGTATATTCCTAGCGATCGTTCGATCGCGCCGAACACGCGATCTGTGAAATGTACTTTCCATTTTTCATTTCCGGAAAGATATTCCCTCAAAGTCGCCTTTCTCTCTCTCTCTCTCTCTCTCTCTCCCGTTTATAAAACTCGTGTCTTTAGCAAGACGATTAAATGCCGATAATTCGCGTGTGAATTGAAATCGGCTACGCTGCAATGGTAAATATCGCGTTATCAAACATCGGTCGGGCATGCCCCCCCCCTCCCCCGCCCGATGGTGTGAATCGCCATCGGATCGCCGGCAGGCTTTTCTTTCGAGTGAGAACCGCTGCTACGACGTCATACAGAGTTCAATGACGTCACGAGGCGTTCGATACGAGAGCGGGATTTCGTAGTGGGGGTCGCAACACCGAGATGAGAATAAAGAAGAGCGCGATCCCAACGCGATGAGGAAAAGCGAGGGAAAGAGCGAGAGGACGAGGCGCGTCAAACTTGAAGAGAAACCCGTGAAAAGGACGAAACTTTTCACGCCACTCCGAGCACCGCGTGTTCCTCGCCCGTTATCTGGATCGTTATCGCGCGTTATTGCCGCACGAATAATATTATACCAGTGGACGCACCTGAACGCATTCTGTGCTGCCACGCACTTGCGTGCGCTCTCTCTCTCTCTCTCTCTCTCTCGCGCGCGCGCCATACGCATATCGCCGTTTAATCAGTGTTTAATCAGACGGGCCCTCTTCTGCTCTCTCGCGTGCGCTAGCGCCCGTTAATCGACGATCCTCCTCTTAATTGCGCGACGTTTCATTAGCTGCGGATAAATTACGCATTAACGCGGCAGATCGCCGACGTAAACGAGCTGGCGCGTCGGATTGCCTAAACCTCCCCTCCCTTCCACTCCTCCTACTCTTCAAGATTTCTCTCGCCGCGGTCTTGGCCGATGCTCGCGCGGAGAATGCAAGTCGGGGGCGCCGCATTGCGCCACCCCCACTATCACAGCCCCCGCGCTCATAAAAGGCGCACGCTTGTAATTCTCTTACTGTGGCAAGAAAGGGTCCGTTCGCGCGCTTAACGCTTAGCGAATAATTCGTCCGTCCGTGGCAAAGAGAGCTTCGATGCCAAAGTCGCGCCTCGCGGTTCGTTTCACACACCGCTACTATAGATACCTCCGCGTCGTTGAGATTCATGAGCGTTGTAAAATGCTCTCGGGAGAGAAAGAGAGAGGAGAAAGGACGCAAAGTGGCCGATCGCGATTAATCTGTCTTTTAATCACGCATAAACACTTCCACCAGCTTTCTCCTCTCCGTTACGACGAAGATCAACCGAGCTACATAGGACTCGTGGAAGAGAGAGAGAGAGAGAGAGAGAGACCGATGGGAGGAGGAGAGGAGAGAGACAGAAAAAATCGTTCCGCTCGGCCGTCGTCGGTGGAAAAGATAGCGGTGCTTTATTGCCTTTGTCAGATTTATGGAGAGCTACTGTTCGCGCGAGGCGTCGATTTCCTCTTTGTAGAAACTACATGCGAGTAGCCGAGGCATTCACGGACTCGGCCGCGGACAATACAGGATTTCTCGCGGTAGGTCGGTATTAATCAAGCGCGGCATTATCCTGCCGCAGCAACTCGTAATCGGTGTAATTTACGTGCGCCAGCGTCCAGCTGAGGAGCGAAATTGGAGTAAATTGAAAGAGACGGTGGGATGTGAGACGAGTGGCCCGAAGGCTGACCGTGGAAAATGCTACAAAGGGTCGCAGCAGCTTCTCCGCGCCCTTGCCACTGACGGAACGAAAATTCATACGTCTGTCTCAAACAATAGAGTCGCTCAGCCAGTACAAGCCGAGGAGGAGATTTCGCGTTACTCGCCAAAGTTTATTTTAGCGCATTGGCGACCTGCAACGCGCGTCGCAAAAGCTGCCGTCTCCAGATTCTGATAAAATATATAAAGTATATTTTTGCTTTCACAACAAGCTGTCTTCACGTAAGCCGTGAATTATTCTCCCTATAAGCAATCGATCAGTGCGTAGAGAGATATATGAGAAAAACATTACAATTAGAGACAGTCGGCGCTGAAAACAGACGCTGAATAGATAGTCGTCGGCTACGTTTTCCCGTGGCGGTATATACATTTCCTTGCGCCGGAGCAGTACCGCCATCGCTCAGGAGAAAGCGGAGTTTCCTGAACGAACGGCACCTTCGCTTACCAGGAAAATCTCCGTCGTGCGACTTGCCGGGTAACTGTAGCGCACGACTCCAACGATAAAACCAGAACGAGGCAGGCTCAACCATCGGTATGAAAAAAGATCATAAGCAGGGTTAAACCCAGTACGACGAGCACCGTTTGCGAACGATCCTGGGCATCGTTGCAGTTTTACCGTCACGAGACCCGGTTCGGTATTAATCACAACTTTCTATCGTTATTACAGCAAACTCGCGATCTCTTATCAATTTACAACGCGTGTGATTGGTCCTTTCTCTCTCTCTCTCTCTCTCATTCTTTTTCTAACCACTCATCCCACCTATGTATCCATGTATCTCTATCGGATGATACAAATATGAATGATCGCGCACACGTTAAATCGAAGACGCGTCATCTCCGTGTGGCACCGGCTTGATAGCTTCATAACTCGGTGAAGGATGACGACACCAATTGCCACGTATGCAAATTAGTCGAATAATAGTCCCGAAGGAAACTGGCACAGATTGAAGAAGTATAATGCGATTAGACGAGCCCGGAATCGTTTATCTCGAAACACGTCAGACCTGGTCGGACGGACCAACCCGACTAGAAATTTATCCCATGGTCCTGATCAGGTTAACCTCATTTGGACATCACAGGTCCCGATAAAGTAATACCATCGGGTCTTAGTAAATCATGCAACGCAGCGTGGAGGACCTTAGGGGGGGGATTCATAGTCAGGTTCTTATCGAGTTACCTTATGGAGTTACCTTATTACGTTTTCTTTTTTTAAATTATGGCTCCTGATTACTCGCCACGGCTATATTGGATGATGACATTAGAAAGAAGAAATGACACGCTGAGAATTCTTTCATGTCATTTCCAGATAAAAAGATATTTGCATGAAATAATATTTTAGATCGCTCGAGCATACTTGTAAAATGTTTCGGAAAAGAAACACAAAATTAACGTCACGTTAATTTCACAACTATTTATTGACTGCTAAAAAAAGAATAGTTTCTATAGCATTTTACAAATATTATTCAAGTGATCTGAAGTGACTTTCCAATGCAAACATCTTTATATTTGGAAATGACACCCAAAAATTGTTTCGTTAAAACTTGATCATGCAAATCATATCAGGTACAATGAATAAGATCCCGACAAGGACCTGATTAACTGAACCGAATATTATATCATACACTAGGTTGGTACATCAAGGTCCTAATGTGGACCCAATCATTATAACCTTATAAAGGTCTTCCTTACACATTGGTCGTTAGGACATTATAAGAACTGACTTACTTGGGATTACCTTTCATTCACTCTATTAGGTCCTTATCAACGTTAAACGAATTTGATCAAAATTTCTAGTCGGGAACTCTCGGGCTTTATCAGACTCGGAGATGACTCTTGCTTCGTTATCTCGAGGACATCGACGGGTCGGCGGAAAAGAAACGATTTACGCGAGGAGAGAGCACGTGGCTCAAGCGCGCGTAGGTTCATCAGCCGGTTGGGACGGACAAAGAGAGAGAGAGAGAGAGAGAGAGAGAGAGAGAGAGAGAGAGAAGGACAAAAAGAGAGGAGGAGAAAAAGGGAGAAATTGCGCCACCGCGTCTCGGCTCCATTGAATCTTTTCTGCATAAACTGAACGAAGATTTGTGTCCCGTTGATTAATGCTTCGTTAGTCACGCTT